GTAACCCTTTCGCAATAAAAGATTCCTTAAAGTTCAACGTTCAACATCTCCGATCTTACAACCAGAATGCATGAAGATGCTATTGAGATGGTGAGACATTCTGCAATGCGCGCAGACAAAATGTAATGTTCAACATCTCCCATTTCGCAATCAGAATGCATGAAGATGCTGTGATTAAGATGGAGAGACATGCTGGAATGCGCGCAGGCATAATTCAATGTTCAACATGTCCGATCTTGCAATGAGTCGGAGTCATTTAGTACAGGTGGTAGAAAAGACCTTGGTTAACGGCGGTAATTCCCGCTTGCGGATTCGGAGGTACCTTGAACGCATCACATTCTGTGCGGCTATCATTGATGTTGTGGTTCTGTCGCTGCTCTCAAATGCAATAAAATGATTAACAACTCGGATCCTACAAACAGCATACAATCATTATATCGGCAATCTCTCTTTATCAAACCGAAGCTCTTATTCATCCAAGCATGTCCTACCAACGACAACTCCAGTTCATGTAGAAGATATGGAATTGCAGAACGATACTACTGCGAACATCACCATGACTAACGTGCACCGACCTCGTAACACTGCTAAGCTTGCTGAACACCCCAGGCCCTGGAACGCTCAGCATATTACGCAATATTCCACCTACGCTTCCATGACCAAGAAATGCTTTCGCAATAAAGCTTGCCTTAAGACTTAAATGCAATATTACTATATTATTAAGTTGGCGTTGAGCTACAAGAAGGCCATTGGTTATATACGACCTCGCATTAAAGATATATTTAACGCTTGCTTCACTTCCTCAGCTTAGCCAGCCAACATTATTAGCCGACAGTGCTACCAAGTTTTAAAGGGTCTTCTTTCTTTGATAACATTCTTTTGATTGCATATCCTGCACTTTTACTAGCAACACCATATGTTGTATAAGGCAGAATGTCTTGGTAGCCTCTTTCAACTGCTTGTATACTTTTTCCTACCACCAATAAGCACTCATTACTGTAGACAAACTGGAGCTAACGTCGTTATGAGATTGCTTTCATGATGTTTACATGCGGAGAATCGCTTTTGAATCTATGTATTCTAGCGTTGGAATTTGCTGCATTCTCTAGCCGCCATTTACACTGACTCTTTACAATGTCGTTTACAGATGTTTTTATAACATCTTCGTTATTTACAAAAGCACACATATTACAAGCACTGCTTTCGCTAATCATTTGCAATTTTACGTGAACCACGTAACTTTTTGGTATTGAATTTTTCCTTTCCCTTCGACACGTCGCCACCAACTGCTACGTAATTGGTTGCTACCCTCTACATCTCTTCCTGAATCATTTTTTGCCTCTCTTTTTTCCTCTTTTGCTTTCTTCTTCTGTATTCAATTTTGTGTCCTACTTGGACTTTCAACCAAATTATCATGAATGCTTAAATTGGGTTTGTGCCTGTATTGTCACCACCAGTAACCGATCTTGTTACGGTTATTTCACCATTTCAGCGCGTTTATTATCATGAACAACTAGTAACACCATCCCTGGCATTATTGAGGCATTGGACTGAGTCCAGCAGCTTTTGTAAAAAGGGATGGCTTCCACTCCTTAGCCTCATAAATAATGAGACGTATGCGTTAGTTATATCGATGATATTTGATGCCGATCTTTGCAGTTGCGACGGTTTTAGGTGTGGAGACGTTAATGCTGAGGACACAGATGGTATATGCTTTTCTGTAATGGGTTGTTTAGGTGATAACGACGCCTCAGAATGTTGTGCTTGGCCTGACTCAACGCTAGCGATGATGTTGTGAATACTAGTCGTATCACTTTGTGCAGCTAGGAGATGAGGTAATTGCATTTGTGTCTTTGGGGATCCTTGTTGCTGTTCTCTTTCAATAAGATCGTTTTGACTTCGATCACTTTCATGACTCCTTGTGTTAGATGTTCCTTCAATGTCCACATTGGTGATACACTCAGGGAACAAATGAAATACAGTAACAAGTGTTCTAGCGATGTCATACAACTTTTCGCATAACCCAAGTCCATGTGCCTCCAAGCTATAGATCGACAATTTAGAGCATGTGTTTAGCATATCTCTGGCGATATGTATTGGAAAATCCGGGCGTAAAGCGATATGTGCCGCTTTTGGATCAATGAGTCCATGAGATAAACATATGTACCATAGTCTATTAAGTAGCCATTGCCTTGTCACCAGGACATCAGTCAATTGTATTTCCAATGGTTGCCATTGCGAAGTTGAAGGATAGCGATTATCATGGCCAGCATTTCTCTCGTTGTTAGGTGAGGAAAGGCTCTTGTTTTCTAGAACTTTGGTTTCAAGTGCTTTGCTGACGGTGTCGTTTGTGAATGCGTTGTATAAAGCAATAGCTTTATTCATATCCCTATTGTGGCACTTTGTTCCGGCACATCTCCCGTTCCAGCAATCCACAAAGTCTTCGTCCACAATGTCGAATAGTCTTAGCTGGCTATGAGGAAAGTCGTCCATCTGACCAATATTAAATTTACGTTTGATAGCAGTCATGGATGCGCCGGGCCGACCACGAAACCCAATAGAGTGACCTCTTTGAAGGGCATAGGCTCTGTATACGTTACACGTTAGTAGAAGAACTTCTACTAACATGATGTTTTGGTCTTGTAGACTTACCTTTCTGTTATTGTCAATAACCAGTATACTCTTAGTCGCCGTTCTCGCTCGTCTTCATCAACATTTTCGTAGGCAGCTGAGTCATGAAGCTTCATTATGTGTCCAAGAGAGACAGATTCACTGAGACGAAGCCATGCTGCGTCATCGTTCCCAGTACTGGAGAGAATTACAAACATATAGAAGCTAGTCATGATAGCATCGATGGATGCATTGTTGCCAAGTTTGGAGCTGCTATGCATTCGATGCGATTCCTCCAGTAAATACAGAGCGCGCTTGGTATTCGACTTTTTAACACAACAACGATTGCCTATCTGAACTGGCTGTAGAAGTGCCGCCGCTGACATTGCAATAAGCAAAGCACCAAACTGGACGTCTGTCATATGGTGAGATTTATCTAATCGACTGAATAACCAACTCCGCTTGAATATCGGTATGATCGGATGCATGCGATCAAAATAAAGCGCGAGAAGTGGTATTAAAGAAGAATCGGAAAGTGGTGGTGTTTCGTCACTCTGTAGAGAAGAGGATTCTTCTTCGCTTGTGCTTCCGTCACTTACGCCATTGCCTTTTTCTAGATGTATCGATCCCCAGTCGTTCATTTGAGCAGTTCTTGCTGAGGAGGGCATTATGGACTGTACCGAAAGGTCAATGAACGATTCGAAATCTGGGAATGTTGCCTTATCGTTGTAGGATATATGATTTAAAAGGTTCTCTGACAGAGGGATATCGGTTTCGGAGTAGCGACTTGTTTCGGCTGAATCAGTAGCAATTTTTGAGTAGGAAGATTCCATAAAGTTTGCTAGATAAGAGGTAGGAATAAATGCTGGATTAGACAAAGGTACTGTCCTTATTGGCTGGACGTTCCTTTGGTTCACGGACTGCTGACTGAACTCTCCACGAAGACCCTGCTTCCCGTTCGAAAATTGAAAGGTTGGCTGCCCAGATGTAGGGTGCAACTTGACATCGGGAAAATCTATTACAGCAGCACTTTTTTTGCGTCCACTCGCCCGATGAGGTACTGAACTTTCTGTATGACTTAGGAAAGAGCTCATAGATACAGGTGGCGATGGAGAAAGATCGGCAGCAGGCTCTTTTTGATCACCTTCACCGTTAAATGCTTGACTATGTTGTCGCTTGAGTGATGATATACGACGTCCTGAAACCTCTCGTCCTCGTGAAGCTTTGATATAGGTACACTGTATATCATGTCGTCTACAGTGCTGACAAGGGTCTTCATGGCTACACTTGACACGCCTGAAATTACACTGTCATCCAGATGACCGACAAGTTGAAACCATGTTAGCATTCATGTTGCATGGAGCCAATTTCTGCAGTGTAGCTTACCTGATCGCACGCTCGTTGCACCCCCATTCACTAGATAGGCGGGCTGATTACAGTCGACCGAAAACTGAGCGGGAAGTGTGGGGATTTCGGAGAATGTATGATACACTTTGTCCAAGTGCCGCGGGTACGAATGGGACGGTGGAGGTACGACAGAAGTAATTACCAAAAACGGTGGTCATTTAAAATACGAACAGCGCCGCCTCCCGAACTCGCACCGAAGGACCACCGGAGTAGTCGAACCATGGCACTTCTCAAACTTTAAGGTTTCCCCACATTTCATTCTTGTAAAGACTTTATAAGAGAGAAAAATTTCCCCAATTGTCCTAACATTATCGCCTGCCTTGATTCGTTTACAAGTTAACCTGGAAAATGGCTACACCTGACAAAGAAAAGACCTCTATCACCGATAATGAAAAGGTTTTCATACATGAGGAAAAAGCTCAACATGAAGATGGCAATAGCTTGAAAGACGTGATCGAAGATACTCTTATGTGGAAGGATATTAATGAAAAGTCCAAGAAAGCTACTGAAATGGAACATACAATGTCGCTTTGGGACGGTTTGAGATCATATCCAAAGGCTGTAGGTTGGTCCTTAGTTGTTTCGACCGCTATCATCATGGAGGGTTACGACACGACACTTCTTGGATCTTTCTATGCTTATCCGGCCTTTCAAGAAAAATATGGAGAGCCTGTTGCTAGTGGGGGGTATGCAATTCCAGCAAGATGGCAAACTGCCCTTGGTATGGGAACCAATATCGGAGTCCTGATCGGTGTATTCATTAATGGTTTTCTCACTGAAAGGCTAGGATACAAGCGAATGATGTTGTACTCCCTTGCGGCTATCAGTGCTTGTATCTTTGTCCCATTCTTCTCTCCTAACGCTCCTGCTCTTCTTATTGGTCAAATAATGTGTGGTGTTCCTTGGGGAGTTTTCAGCACCCTGGCTCCTGCATATGCTTCAGAAGTTTGTCCAGTGGTACTCCGCGGCTATCTCACAACATATGTCAACTTATGCTGGGTCATCGGTCAACTTATCGCGGCTGGAGTTTTGGATGGACTTCAAACGAGAACTGATGAGTGGTCGTATAAGATTCCATTTGCCCTTCAATGGATGTGGCCCTTACCCTTATTTATCGCCATATGCTTTGCGCCGGAATCGCCTTGGTGGCTTGTTCGAAGAGGACGTGTTAATGATGCCACAAGGGCACAGAAAAGGCTGTCCAACTACTCTACAAATATTGACGAGGTGGTAGCTATGATGATTCACACAAATGAATACGAAAAGGCAATTAGCGAAGGAACTTCATACTTGGACTGTTTCAAGGGATCCAATCTTCGGCGAACTGAAATTTGCTGTATGGTTTGGTGCATACAAAATCTAAGTGGATCTCCTATTGCGTCCTATGCCACATATTTCTTTTTGCAAGCTGGCCTTGCCTCGTCAAATGCATTCGCCTTGAATGTCAGTCAGTATGCCTTTGGTTTCGTTGGAACGGTTCTGTCTTGGTTTTTGCTTACTCGGTTCGGACGTCGAACGATCTACTTAAACGGCCTCTGTGTATGCTGCGTCCTTATGTTTTTAATTGGCTTTTTGGGGTTAGCTCCAGCTAGCAATACTTCCATCCCTTGGGCAACATCTGGTCTCCTGCTTGCATTTGTCTTTGTCTACGATCTTACTATTGGGCCTGTCTGCTATGCGCTTGTGAGCGAGATTTCCTCCACAAGATTACGTGGAAAAAGCATTGGATTGGCGCGAAACTTTTACAACATACTGAGTATCTGCTTTAGTGCTTCCACACCGTATATGCTAAATCCTGATGCACTTGACTGGAAAGGCAAAGTCGGACTCTTTTGGGGCAGCATATCATTTTTATGCGTCATTTGGACTTATTTTCGCCTACCAGAACCAAAAGGTAGAACTTATGAAGAGCTGGACATCATGTTTGAAAACAATGTGCCCGCTAGACAGTTCAAGAGTTACAAGATTGAAAAGTGAATATCTGATATTAAGCTTATGTATAAGATGTAGTTTTAACTGAATAAATAACTGAATGATAAATAACTGATTACCACAATAAGGCAGACTCACAACAGAGTATTTAGTTGTTTTTAGAAAAAACGCTTTGGTTTAACGACGGGACTTGGTATTCATAATCTTAAATCGACAATTATCTGCTCTTGTAGCCTTATTCAACAATGATTTTTTCTAAAGAGATCAGGTAGACTTCATACATCTTTAAAGTTGTCCAAAAATAATTCAGCTACTGTTGAAAGTTCGTATTTCATTCACAACAACAACCAATATTTATTTGCCCACTAAATAAAGTATTTACATTCGTGGCTTTTGATGCACAACCGACAAGCTATCAACATTGTGCGCTTGAGTAAGATAGCGTGATTTATGGAAAGAAGGGATTGTAATAGCGAATAGTCAAAGTGACGTAGGAAGCCACCTACAGCTTACGCCAGCTATGCCCGTATATTCCCAGGTCATTCCAGTTTAGGCTCATTAAAGACCTTGTGGAAGCTCAATGTTCCACACCGAATTTTCACCGATTACCAGCCATCCATCTTGTGCCTATGTGCTTGCCGTTGAACTGTTTTCTGCTTTACTTTGAGGCTCTCGCATTCAGTTTAATAATGGTTGGTAAGATTTTATTACTTCATTCTCTATTTGCTATATAAACTTTGTCAGACGCCAACGATAGAAAGGTGTCTGAAAGATCATCGTTTGGATCTTAATTAACTATGATATTGAGTTAATTGTCCGCTTCCTCATTGACGTATGGGGTAGTTCAGCTTTGATTTTGTGGGGTGGTATGACAACATTCGGATACATCGAGATAAGGTGAGAGATCTTTAGTGCCATAGTAAGGCGAATCTCAGGAGATCCGCCTTTGGTTTGATGCTTGTTGTTTTCCACGGCTAAATGCAACTCAGGCTTGCGTTCCACTTAAGTAGCAGCCGTCAGATGGGCATCAGTTATTTCTGCATCATTAAAATTTTCTTCGCTTGCTAGTGACAAAAACTAGGTACTTTCAATATTCAAAGAGCATGAAAAAAATAATATTATGGAGTCAAAGTTCGGATAGGCTGCCAACCAAGCCTACATATTTTAATTATTATATGTGCGCTCTTTTACATATTACTTACACTTATATTTAAACAGTAGCTAATTCCACCCTCTCACGATGTGCACAGCTATGGAAGACCTGTCTTTGCGCACGTGTTTTCGCTATAGTATGTGTTGCATCAGCCCTTACAGCGCTTGAGCAGCAGGCTGCTCCGACATATCAAATTATCCGTAGGCGTACTCATATTGGACGCTGAAATTCCATAGAAATAATCAAATGTGGTTGAAACGTCACATAAACTCCACTGTGTTGACTCTATCCACACTTATTGGTAAGTAAGTCCCTTGACGAGCATGTAGACATATGTAACAGAGTCTGTTAATAATTTCAAATTCCACTCTATATGAGGGAGCCATTAAGCACATTCAGAAGCTTGAGTATGCTAGGCGTTGAAGATCGCGGAATTCACGTACAATGCAAATTACTTCTGGCGGCATCACTGTTGATCCGCATGTCTGCGAAATACACGGTTAATAGGTGTCGTAAAATGGCCATAGCGCTGCTGAGTGGTAAAAATTTCGGGGTGGTGGTATAAACTGGACAATAATCTGTTGGGTCGTTAGGAATGTCGTTCATCCGTGTTGTTTTAATTTCAAGCTCTTATTTTCAAAGCTTATGAACGATCTTTAAACCAAGCGCAAAAAGGTGTTCTTTCTGTTCAAACCAAAATTCTCGGTGTCTTGTAAACCCGATATATCAGTAGATTAGAGACGATTGATTACTATAATGGCGCTGCTGCGGAATATCCAATTCTGCAACATAGAGTCGCAGTCTACTGTATTCTATTATATAATGAGAAAGAAATACATAAACTCAAGCTGATATCACTTTTATGAAGTCCTTCGAAAGATGCTTGTAGACAGCAACTCCTTACAACCAAGTTCTTTTTTTTTTTTTTTTTTTACCAAATCTGGTTGAACATCACAGCTACAAATTTCCAATCCCGCTTTGGATAGATAATATACACGTCTTTCATGCCATGGATGTAGACGAGGATGCTGTACAGCAACTGGCTGACTTGGTGAGTATTGTTTTCTGCCAATGGGCTGCTTGCTTGACATACCTTTGCATGCACGCTGTGTGTGACAATGAATGGCAGAAGAACCACCCACTAGCCTCGAGACTTGGCATCTCATGACGCATGTTAACATAACTCATTGGTCGGTATGAATCTAGGGAATTCCCCGGCAGCAAGCTTTCATTGCTCTACAGGTAAAGGCACTCGAGATTTTTTTATGATATATATGGGTATTATGCTTACGCAGAGGGCTTCAGAAATACAATAACGATGTCATGAGAGCTGCTGACTACATATTTTCTGGGCACGCCGAGCAAGACCTAGTAGAGGTATGTAGCCATTAGATGAGAGGCAACCATCAAGAAAATGAAATTTTGATACTGATGAATATCCTCTCTAGCAGCCCCTCGAACTTCCCGAAGCTGCGCATCCAGCTGCTGAATCAGCAGACGTCACTAATCCCAATGAAGGCACTGCTTCAGCCCCAGAACCAGAACATGTAGTCGATACGGTAACAGATCCAGTGGATGGAAATCCGGCATTTATTTCTGAAACACAAAGTCTATCGAACGAACCATTAGATGTATTTGATGAACAGGTGACTTTAGACAAATGGCCTGTAGCTGGTAAGGCATAATTGAATGGGAGATGAAAAAATAAGCTGGCAGATTGGATTGCTAACAACAAAATCTCACACAGATGCTATAGCCTCAGAGGAAGATAATCTACTTACCATGAGAAGGAAGTCGCCCATTGAGCCATCGAATATGGAACAAATCGGTCCTACCACATCCAGTAGCTACGATGCCCAGCAATGGAGTTTAGTACCTTATCAAAATGATGTTAGTGAATGCTTTTGAAAGTGCAAAGTGGTTATCAAATGTGTCTGACATATCTTGGTCGAAATGATATACAGCAGAAGACTTTCTCCGCTGAGAATGACCAGGAAACGGACGCCCACTATTCTTACTATAATTTGACGTGGTGGAGAGACCCACTTCCAATCTATCGGAAGAGGATGATGAAGGTGTAAGTGAGTTATTAATGATCATCTTTGGCAGGATATCGTATTAAGAAGTCTTTTTAGGCCAGTGGGTCTAAGACCGCCACCATATGACTTCTCATGCTCGCCACCGCTCATACAATCATTATACCACGTCCCATTGTTCAAGACCGCCATACTATGTCAAAAGCCGAAACTGTCGAACTGGGGAAGCACGGAAAACTATTGGAAAGGAACTGGTCGAGGTATTCCGGATGAACCGAAATCTACTATCGATATACAGCCTCCTCCGTATGAAGTTGTAGTTGAAAATGCAATGAGCACAGATATGGAGGAAATGAGTTTGGATTCTACCACTCCTGACAGTGAAAGCTCATATGGTAGTGATGACCTTGAGCCAAGCAGTGTCTTGGCAAAGGCAGACGAAAGTGGGTTTTTGGCAGCTAAAACTGCAGCAAATCGAAAGGGTGAGTTCAGATACTCTCCTGGCTTTATACTATTCGTTGGCTAATGCGTTTTCAGTGGTATACGAATTGCAGCGGCTTTTTGCTTTCCTCTCTTATACCAATCGACGATATGTCAGCGTGAACAATGTTGTCAGAGCGATACAATATAGTGGGAATCTTGATGGTACTGAGCTTACAAATGCCAGACCAGAAGGTGAGCGATAGTACGATATGAAATATATTGATGTCATAGGTCTGACATAGGTGAAAAATCAGGTTTATTGGATCAGCTCATCACTTGTACTGGTTTCGACAATACATCCGAAAAGCTGTTTGAACTTGCAGATGGAAACACCTTGAATGCGTCCAGGTAAACAATGAAAAGCAAACATAATTCAAAACAGCAAAAATAACCCACACATTACCTTTTTCTTTTAGCCTCTTCACTATCAGTGCCATAATAGAGATGTTTGTGGATGGCGAAATACAGCAAGAGACAGAGCAAGAAACTGCTTTTTTCTTAGTCATTTCCCCTGATGAGACCACATTTGACTTTCATGGATGCCTTCGACCTCTAATATACGAGGACAATTATGACAGTGACAGCGATATGGATAACGGGATTGTGGACGATCAGAACACTGACTGTGGTGCTCGTTCCAAAACATGCAAGATAACTTCGTTCACCAAAGTACCACCCATTCTTCATATTTTCTTAGAGGACCCCAATCAATATTCTATTGGAGTACATACGGCTGCGGGCGGTCGACATAATCGATACAAAGTGGAAAAAACCATCTATATGGATCGCTATCTTCACGCGAATAGAGATAAAGTGCTCAAGATAAATCAGGAGATACGTAATGCGAAGGCAAAGGTCACTAGGACCAAGGAAAGGTTAAATTACTACAACAGAAACTGTCGCGATGTACGTGTGAGCTTGGATTTCTACATGTACAGAGAGTATTTACTAACATGTTGGCACATATAGCATACGGCCATCGAATACCTTGAACATACACTCAGTTACTTTCATTCACAAGATTCAAATGATGATACAATTGCCGTTGAAAAGCTAATCAATCAAGTGAAGCAAGATATTGAAAACGGAAATAAAGGTAAGTGGTATAGATTTATATGATGATAACTCACAATACTGGCGTTGACAAAACATTATATAGAATTGGAGGAAGCGGAGCATAATCTTCATCACCTTTCTGAAGCCATGTTCACTTGTACTGGACTATTACAGTGCAAATATACCCTTCATGCCATACTTATGCATGATGGAGGAAATGGGACGGGTCATCACTGGGCATATATTAATATGAAGACAAGTGGGATTGAAATTCAAGAAGATACCAAGACATGGTTCAGATGCTGTGATGCTTCGGTTGTCCCATGCACAGAGGAAGAGGTCCTTGAAGACGAAGCTCTTGTCTACTCGCTGATATATATCAATGAAGACGTCGAAAATTTGGATATTCCCAACGTTAGTGACATTATATCACCCAGCTTGAAGGTAAGTACATATCAAAAAAAACCTAATGTGTCAAGACAGCATTACTAAATGATAGTGACTAGACGCACGTGATGGAAGATTGCGACTCTTTTGAGGAAGAACTAGAAACAATGCACAATGTGGAAGTTACTTTTAATGATCAGATACATGCCTCAGACGATGAGGAAGATGATGATGATACGGCGTCGGTTGCTTTGGACTCTTCTCCTGATTTGGTAGATACCAGCAGTGACACTCAAAAAGCCGAATGGGTGGAAGAATGTCTAATGCGCATCCAACAAGAAGAGTCGAGAATACCAGGGGACCATTATCGAGTGATCGAAAGGTACGAATATTCTATTTCTTGATATTACAATTGGATAACATTATTCTAATGAAGAACAGTCTTGAGATATTCCTCGCCAAATTCGGAGAAATTAGTGCCTTGCGGTACCTTTTGGAAAATTTCGGATCAGCCTTCAACAACTTAGTAAGTACACCCTTATCTTTGTTCAATGTGCAGTATGCAATACGTTTTAATACAATGTGTCACCATTTCAACTTAGGCACCAGAGGAAGCTGGACAGGTTTTGACGTCCATGAAAACGGATCCTATGCTAGAGTGGCAGTACCATCTGTACCAAGACTACGTAACTATAGCGGAGATAATTAGTCAAGCAGTTGAAATGATTACGCAACATCAGGATGAAACGGCTTTGAAGTATTTGGTGATTGCCAAGGAACAAACGGTGAAATGGAAGGAATATTTGTGGCGAAGGAGTCATGCCAATAATATCGACGCATTGTTCGACGGGCCGTCATTTTTGTTGACCATTCAAAAGCTTGGAAAACACGTATTATCGGTAGGATATTTTCCATTACATTAATTATTGCCTCAACTGTCTTTGGAAGGTATTACACCTAATCTATTCTACGAGAGTCTTACTCACATGTCCTGTCTCTTAGGTGTCAAACGCCAAAGCATATGCGAAAGCTAGCAATGAAGCATACAGAAAACGAGGATTTGAAGATGCCATCCGGATATCAAAATATGCTCAAGCATTGTTGGACCCCGAATCTCTCGAACATGATCCGTTTTACAATCACCTACAAGAGCAATGGCTAAGCTTTACAGACACCATCACCGACTCGCTTGATGAACAGCAAGCTGAACTATTCAACACGCTGGTCATGAGCTTTCTAGAATATCAGGGCATGGATAATCGAGATTTGGAGATCACGAAACAGGAGCAAGGTTCTACCGAAGATTTAAATTTACGACAGCCTGCATGGGAGAGATATCGAGATGCTATGGGCAAAGTGGATCAAATACTCCTTTCTGAAGCTTGATGTTTCTCCTCCAATTTTGACAAAATACCCGGAAATTTTTGGTTCTCTTGACCCAAGGTTCCTAAAATAGTGATATCTAGTTTTTTTCATAATGACAATAAGCCAATTAGAATTATGATATGTCCGTTTAACATTGTATCTTTGTCCATTTGCTTCCCAACTACGTATGACGGGTCACTAAACTATAGCATTAAAGCTTGGTCTCTCCTCGGTGCGTTACAATCACTGGTTCATCTCCCCGCTGATCACCAACTTAAAAAATCTAATTTTCGCCTTTTTTTTTTCCTTCATAAATACTCTTTTTCACTGGCACTTGAGTATTCCTGTATCAAAGTGAACTATGCTAGTAAAGACGTATACCTTGGCAATCCTTGGTAAGGAAACAAAGAAAAACCTTTCCATGAATACGAACTGTAGCCCACAAAACTTAACACTCGGTGTACAGTTGCAGCCATGATGGCGACATCACAAGCAGCGACAAATCCCCACGCTGACAACGTTATGTCAGGCGAGATGATGAATAGTGGCTCCATGAGCCCAGAATTTGCATCAGAAAAGGATATTTCAGACATGACATTCATATCAACATCTGGAGAGAACATGAAGAATATGGCCAATTCAAAGGTTGCTGCTCATATGAAGCCTCTCGCTTCAGAAGCTGATGCATCGGAATTTCTAGACACCACCACTATAGAAAGTTTGGATTTTGCTACACCTGTCGCTTCCGGCAATAACAAGCACAAAAATTATGCTGCCACCAGCGCACGAGTGAATAAAGCCACCGGTGCCCAACTCCATGCTGCTATGGCTTCTGCATCGCTTACTCCAGAGCAGAAGAATAAACTAAAGAAAGGTAAGTGTACATGTCTTTACAGAACCAAATGGGATATATCCACATTAAAAACCTGACAATGTCTTCACTTCTAGGCATTGAGATCATCCAAAGTGTTCAAGAATCCGCCACTATCAATTCTGATTCATTGCCAAGTGCAGTGTTACCTCCTGTCCCTTTGATGACAGCTTGTGGCACTCAAGGTCAAATCGCAGTTACATACGTATGTGTTAATATCAAATTCTGGCGATGGATGAAATTTCCAAGCAGACTGACCTAAAAGTTTTTATTTTGTTTTATTTAAATTCCCTTGCGTCACGACAGAGCGAAGGACCCAGCGATGCTACTGCTAGAATTGTGAAGCAACTAAATGCGGCGAACGCAAAAGTAACCTTCTTCGTTAATGCAACATGGTATGTGATTTATCAGCTTTAATGCGCCGCAATCTCGTAGAACGCGTTATTTTACTTTTTTGGGATGTACTGTTTTAATAATTTTACGTCTGACAATAGGTTGTATTCACAACAATATGCCATGGTGGTCCAAAACACGTACAATGCCGGTCATTTTATTGGAATGACCTACCGTGTCAAGAATGACGATTCCTCAACCCTTTCCGAGGATGAAATACGAAATGATATCATTAATGATGCCAGAGTTATTCAGAGCTTAATTAACGTCGCACCCAAATATGTTCGTCTTCACTACACAAACGTGGAAGATACGAAGACAGAGAACATTCTAAAGGAATTAGGTATGGTTCTCGTCGGATATAACCTTGATAGTCAGGACTACTCCAAGTCTGCCAAGACTCAAGATGTGTACAAGACTGCTTTCCAAAAGCAAAAGGAAACATACGATGCCAAGGGTTCATTTATCTCCATCCAATATGACATCCCAGACACTAGCTCGTTGGAGTCGTTATCTTACATCTTAAACACTATTAATGATGAAGGATATACCATGGTGAGAATGGATGGATGTCTCAACGATCCCAAGCCATACAGAAAAGGTATGCTTATTTTGCACAGGCTATATTTGAATTTCCCAGTACTGACCGTTTTTTGTATGATCCACAGATGCCGCCAGCAATGAATATGTGTCTGATAAATTTACATTCAACACTACTGGATATAAAGAGGGTCAAACTCCAATGCAGCGAGGTGTCATTATTGACGACAATGGAAGTGAAACCACGACAACCTCTATCAAAAGCGGCGCCAGCTTGGCAACTCTCTCTGTAGGAGCTGTCGCTGCTCATTTGGTCCTTTTCTTGATGGGTGCCTTTATATAATCAGCTGAAAACGATTGGCTTACAGCATAATTTTGATCTTCTTATGGGATCGTTCCCCAATTAGAGCTTTGTATACGGCTCAATCTTTTACAGCCTAACAAATACAGGAACCAGTAGCCGGTATCATTTCACTCATTGTAATTAATCTTAGACAATATAAACGTAAACGTGTAACTCTTGCGTGCTATTTTATTTGCGTGTGTAAAAATTGAGCGATTGTGCTATAACAAAGTCCATTATAGCGAGTGAACGAACACAGGTGGTCCTATGCATTGCATTGTGATGATGAAGAATGAAAACAGGGATGGTATTATTTTTTATTAAAATATATTGTGTATAGATAAACTTAAGTACGAGAGGTAAATCGGACATGGACATTTTCCAACATGGAGGTAAAGCGAGCACCTTCCATAACAGGGTACGCTGAAGGCGGTCTAGCGACCTCAGTGATATCGTAGAGTGAAAAGACGAGAACAGCTGCATAAACAAGCTCCAAATTTGCCATATGACGACCGGGGCAAACTCTTGGGCCGCCGCCGAAGGTCCAGTCGAGTCTTTCCATCTGTCTCTTCTGTTCGGGTGTGGCGTCAATCCAGCGTTCAGGTTTGAACAAGAAGGGATCTGGCGTTGGACAATAACGCATACCAGCAACTCTGGTAAGCATCATGATATTAGTACCTTTGGGAAGAACATAGCCATCGATAACAGTATCGTGAATGGCCTCTACACCAGCAAATGGAGCAACGGGATGGAGTCTCTGAGTCTCATTGATGACTGCGGTTGTATAAGGAAATTGGGCAAAGATATTCTCCTCCATAGCGTCGCTTATTTCGTCAGATGACATCTGCTTTCTAGCAGACGGACTGCCAAGGATTGCGTCCACCTCAGCGTGCAGTTTTCGTTGTACATCAGGATTTGCCGCCAATAGATAAGCCATAGTCTGCATTGTATTTGCAGTCGTATCTAAGAAAGTTGCCAAGACTTAGAATGTATGATCTCTACCTTTAAAAAACAGTGTTTTTTATACACTCACCATAGCCAGCACTGATGACGGTAAGTAGATTGCCAACCATATCCTTAATTGACATCTTGCTAGCAGCCTTTGATGCTGACAGTAGGCCAGAGACCTCAATCTTGTTGATATCTTGGTGATTGATTGAATACCAAAGTGACTCCAGCATAGTGCTCATTTTATCGGACTTTTCCTTGTACGTATTGGGATCATAGTCTTCAATGATGGTCCGTACTGACTGATTCAATTTGGCCACGGTTTCGTCAAATTTGCGATCCTCGGCATCTCTGAATCCCACTTTGTGCCATGGGATAATTTGGAAAAGTCTTCTGCGCATAACTGTGAAGATAACCTTGATGTCCTCTAAGATGTTTTCAGGCAAACATTCCTCCTTGTCTATATAGTCCATTCACCGTGATGAGTTACCCTATTCCTTATGTGTCATCGGACGCTGTTAACAGTAACTTACCGTGAGCAAATGAGAAATCAATAACAACACCGAAGGCGAAGGCGCTGAACATATCAATTGTATTCTTCAATTCCTCTGGGTTATAGAAATTGGTCTTCGTGTATCTGCTGTTAGGGTCTTGCACTACTGTGGGATACCACTTATTGTCGATTTCATCGACCTCCTTTGAGAAACGGTCCAGCGACTTGCGCAGTTCAGTGGCATGCTTAATGATCAATTGTTTGGTCTTGTTGATTTTGCCTGGTGCGAATTGGGGAAATACCCAAGCTCTGCTATGGCGCCAATCATCACCTGTACAGTGTGAAGATTAGCAATTAGACGTATCGAATAACAGTAATCGATCCATGTACACTAACCTTCCATTGAGAAAAGACCAGGAACGCCTGAGTCCTGGAACTGTTTTTCAATGTTGAATGACCGTTTAAAGTTATTGGGACGCTCCCTGAAAAGCTTTTCAATAGCCTGAGGGGAGGATGCAAGCACAACACGCATAGGACCAATGAACATTTGTGCCATTTCTCCATATTTCCTAATCAAATCAGTTTAAGAATAGGGATTGATTTTGCCTTGGTGTGAAACAGGATACTCACCAACCAATGGCCTCAGTGAAGGCATTCAACTCATCCATTTTGAATTGAAGGCTATGGCCGACGATGGGAAGGTAGTCTGGCCCTGGCAAGCTTTCAATAGGTTTACCTTGCAGCTTGGGAGCACTCTTCTTTTTCCTATAAATGTGGGCAGCTCCAACTAGCGTTACAACACCAGCAGTGACAGCGACAGCCTGACGGTTCTCTTCAACAGCTTTGACCAGCTTTTCTGTGCTAGGAAGCCATTGGCGTAGTTGATCGAGTTGATTCATAGTTGTCGACAATACGACAGATTTAGTGCGAGTTATTTAATTGCTGGGGAGAATGAGTATTTGCTTTTTTTATAAAGAGTTTGACTCCGTTTCCGGAGGGTGAGTCAAGCTGGACATAATCCGGAACAAAATGTTAAAACCCCTTCTTGCGCGCTTTCCGCCACGAGGTATCCCGATATTCCAGTCCCGGGAATAGAAAGACGTTGTTCAACATAGAACATTGCATTGAATTTGATCATTGACAAGATGTGAAAAGGGGGGGGGGACTGATCCGTGTCAGGGATGGAAAGTTAAGGATGACAGCAAAAACCCTATTTGTCTTTCGTAGAAGAGATATCCGTGATGTATGAATATGCCAGTGTACTGCCATCACCTTATTAAAGATATGAAGCAAATCCGGTTCATTCCATAGGCTCTACTATCGTTTCATTTCAATTTATCTGAACAAAGGAGCTGTCGATCCTTTATGCAGCGTTTCACCATTTGCTTAGCTCAACACTTTTTGCCTAAAACCATAAAATGGTCACAAAAAAAGTACGAGCACCCTTTTGTCAGCCATGTTCGAGCCCATTTCATGCATTGAATGTAGACGACGAAAAGTCAAATGCAATCGCAGAAACCCTTGCGACCAGTGCACACTGCGAAAAGCAGCCATGGATTGTAAATACCCCACTGCTTTAAGAAGACGGCGAGCTCCAGACACCGAAGACTCCCAGGAGCTAGAAACGTTACGGAGCAGGCTGAACGATGTTGAATCCCTATTGGCGGATATACAACAAAAAAATCAGCCGGACGACGCGCCTATGGAAGAACTTTCAAAGTACCTCGATCATGCCGCCCTCGCATCCATGCTAAAACCTCTTCGAGAATCCTTGGAAAACTATGAACAATCCATTAGTTATGTCTTTGAGGAATATGACGATCCGACTGCGCTCCTGCTTCCTCGCATTATGGATAACGAAGATACAGAAACTGATTTTATTGCATTCCTTATCGCTTACTTTTTCCAGTTGGCCGACCATCCATACGTTTCCAGCGCTGAAACATATGAGCTTGTGCGACAAATGCACACGTTGAATCAAGATGGACTGCTGCTTTTGATGATTTTGGCAACCAGTTCGCGCAGTCTTCCTTCCAATCATCCCGTTTTGACTGAAACCGGCCTTACTGCTGGTGAGATCTCAGAGCGCTTCATGGAGAGCTATAACAAGCAACGAAGTTATTTCACCAAAGAGAGCCTTGCTACAGTTCAAGCTCATATTCTCGCCTGCTATCACCATATGGCGTTTGAAAGAGTTGAAAGTGGATGGAAGTCAATGGTAGCTGGCGTTGGTGCAGCGTGGAGCATCAACCTTCATGTTGTCAACCCCTCTCGACCCACTGTTCCTCAAGAACGGCGCTGTCAAATATGGGCGGCGCTTTCCGTATTGGAAGCCACGGTATGCGGAACGCAAGGACGACCAAACCTTATTACCATAGCTGGGTTGCAATCGGATGTGCACTCTACGAAACAAATGACAGACACCTCAAGTCTGTGTCGCCAAATCAATATCCAAACTACTACTGGCCTCCTCATGGACTATCATTCTGTCCTAGCCTTTGATGCTGCCATTGATGATGAGGTTGCCAAACTGGAACACAGTCTAGGCGGAAAACCTCAAATCGAAGGTGTTATTCTCGAATTACTTGCTGTCCAAGCCAAGCTCCATCAACCACATATAACAAGTCACCCGCAGTCAGAAAAGAAGATGACTTTTGCACTCACGAAGTTTTTGTATCATCTAAAGAACATCGTAATGGTCCTTGGTAACGACCTGAACACCAGGATTACACTATTGCAGTGCAGGTTCGTGCAAGTACTTATAATCCTCTATACATATTTTCACACTGGAGGGTCTCTACTGGATAGGCAAACTATCAACAATGATCTTTCCAGTATCATTGCTTCAGGAGTTTGGCGTGAGAACGCAAAAGCGGTGGTAGACATGATTGTATACAATCCGGACAAACGTGTTGAGCTGAATCTGGACGCTGATTCTTTCCCAGGGATGGTGTACGCTTTAACACAAAGCGATTTCATTCCTGAAGATTTCTTTGGGGCTATTGTGTCCTAAAATTGAGAAAATGGAAAGAACGATATGTTTAAAACAGCACTATATTGTTTATACTCTTCTTTCGATGTATCTGAATGTAGAAATGTTTGAAAGACACGGAGAAACCGATCAATAGTCTATAGTTTGATGCTATACATCGTACATCTTTTATTTCGTCTTACACTACCTCCACATTATTGGAATTTACTTTTTCTCATTGCATTATTTCTATAAGTTGTCTATTCACCTTCGTGGTTGCATTTAGAAAATATATAAATACCTGTCATCTCAATTTGAATGGCACTTACAGTGAAAGGAAACACGTATGCCTAGTAGGTCGATAATTTCAATTATCTAAGTATTTGCAATGTATTGCTTGCCTCTTGCTTCATCCAATGAATCGCATGAGCTGCAAAATATGTACTGTTTTGAAACTAACGGATATGGAACATCAAGGGGAGACAACCTCTTCGCCAGACATTATTCAGCTTTTGTTAAATTGCATCTGGGATAATGCGCTTTGAGAGCTTTTTCTGCCTCGGCGAAGAAAATTGACTTGCAAAAGTTTATTCATTCGTCGTTCTAGTGGTATATGCCAATGAGATTGTTACCATTTATAAGCTGTCTTTAAAAGTAGCGTTGAACGGCGACGGAATACGGCCTGCGTAGCCTATGCATGGTAAGCAAACTGAACTTTCCGGCGTTTACCGGACTTTGGCATCATATTGATTTGAGATGAAGGTTCTGATAACTTTGAGCAAACAAAATGTCTACAATATAAATCTTTCAGTATCAAGGACAGGTGGCTGAAAACGATTATCATTCTGCGCTCTGTCAAGTGAAGTATCAGGTATAACAACATCTGCTTTCCATGGATCGGCCATTCAATTGCCACGTGTGGAATAATGAAGGGCTTAATAATGAACGGTTTGCTTAGCTACTTTAAAACATATCGAAGACAATGCGGTGTTGAAGGGAAATTCTAGAAGACGGTCGATATAGCTTGTCGTACATGAGAGTACTTTGGGATATCGCTGATCAAGCTTAAAGCCGGTGGGGTTACGGAGTAAGGTCAAAGTCCGTGAGTTAAGTTTCAGTGTGGCGCATGCCTGCCTCCATCTGATAAATTCCAGCAAATAGCAAATGATATAAATTGTAGCAAAATTTATGGTCTTCTTTCATCAAAAAATTCTCTCCATCAGATAATATGCCTACCAATACTTCAGCAAAACTCAACGGCAAGGTTGCTATCGTTACTGGCTCATCAAGGGGCCTGGGAGCTACCATTGCTACCCATCTGGCTTCGCAAGGTGCTCAAGTGGTAGTGAACTTTGTTAACTCCGCAGAAAAAGCAAATTTGGTTGTATCTGCCATCAAGGATAACTGCGGTGAAGCGATTGCTGTGAAAGCCAATATTGGTACGGAGGATGGACCTCAAAAGCTGGTGGATGAAACTGTGAAAGCTTTTGGACATATTGATATTATCGTCAATAATAGCGCGATTCTGAAAGTGGAAGAATTGGGTGAAATCATGACAGCGAATTTCGACGATAGTTACGCTATTAATGTTCGTGGCCCTCTGCTCTTGGTGCAAGCAAGTCTTCCTTATCTTAGAGACAATGGTAGAATCATCAACATATCCTCTACATCTGCACGTGCTGGATATCCTGGACTCTCTGTGTACGGCGGAACCAAAGGTGCCATTGAAGCAATGTCCAGGGTCTGGGCATCGGAGCTCGGCCCAAAGCGCAACATAACAAGCAACTGTGTGGGCGCTGGCCCTATTATGACGGATATGATCAACGATGATGTGGAATGGGCAAAGGGTATGACTGTCAATGCACCTCTTCCAAGAATCGCATCACCTGCGGATATTGCTGATATCGTTGGATTTCTTGCCAGTGAACAAAGTCATTGGGTTACTGGAGATGTCATTAATGCTAATGGTGGCATCATCTTTTATTGAGCACTGGGTATGGCTTCTGAACATGGGAGGACATATCCATAGATGAGCATTTATGAATTCGTTATATAACTTCTCAATCTGTACTTCCCAATATTCCTTCCGCATTAGCAGTTACTGTGTGGTAAAGACAAATAGTAAACATGATTTATCTCCTGATTTTGATCACCCCATGCGAGCATATATAATTGTAGTTAATGACATAGAAATAGCACTTGCAAATCTAAGCGCAAGCCATTTTGAAACCCGTTCGCTTCTTTTATTTACAGCAAGCGTGTCATAATCCATCTATATTGTACATGTCACTATTATACACATTTAGGAACCATACATTAGAGATTGTCCGTTCAGTCCCAACCGTCGACCTCTAAACCAGCTCCAAGACCATCGCCAGTCCTTGTCATCTTCTTTGCATCGTTTTCCAGTTCTGCAACTACGTCTATTTTGCTTCTCTTTCTTTTCTTGTTTGTCTTATCCACGACAGAGACTACACCAGATCGAGCGGCGATATCCGACTTAGCATCCAAAATAGTCTCACCTGGCTCTGGGATCTTGATTGTCTCAATAACCGCCATAGAATCAACATCAGGCTCTTTTTCGGTAGTGGGTGGTTTCTCTTCTTCCAATTTTTCATGCTTGTCCTGTCTGTCCTCGTCTGTAGGTTCGGGAGGAGGTGCGAAGAAAGTATCATGCTTTTGTTTTGTTGGCTTCGATATGCTAGCCTTGCGTTGTTGACCCTTATTAGGCTTGCCAGTATCCGTTTGCTTCTTTCTATCGCCTTCAACATCGTCGCCCGCTTTCTGAGGAGGTGCAAAGAAGGTGTCATGTTTTTGCTTTGCAAGTTTGGATGGTCGATCTTTCGTTGCTGGTTGTGGTTTGGAGTATGGCTTATTCCTGCCTTTAAAGTCTGATTTGGCTTTGTTGGCGGCATATGGCTTTTTCTGGTGCTTCTTTTCGATCTTGCCACTATCTTTGCCATGGCTAGTCTCGGGGGCAGCAAAGAATGGGTCATGCGCGAGCTTCCCTGATTTAGGCTCGCGATCCTTAGAAGCTGGAGCATGAGGTTTTACTTTTTCCTTTCCGCGGTTCTGATCAATCCCCTTCTTCTGACCATTTATGATCTCTTTTCCATGTTCGTCTTGCTGTTTCGAAAGATTCCTTTCCTTAATGGCTTGTTTTTTCGCTTTGCTTTTGGGCATTTGGGCTACAAATTATGAGTATAGCGACTTGCTGTCAAGAAGGAGAGAAATTTTTTTGGTTGCAACTCCGTAAAATTTCAAGACTTGTTGGACTTCTAGCAGCGGCACAGCTCAATACATACTTCAAAGCATCATGTTACATATCTTACGATCCGCAACCTTCTTTGTCACTCTCTTCTACTCATGTTACTTTTGTATGGCGTCGGCACAATCTATGGTATATCTTGAGAATTAAGCTGACATTTGCGATGCTTCGTATCATGTGTGGTAACTGACTCTATACGTGCGAGATCGAAGCAGACAGCTTCCAAGGCTGGGAAACTTAAAGTTGTCTGATCGTATTTTCAATAATGCTTCTGCACTCATAAACACAGGAGTACCATAAATGATCTGTTGGATTGAATGCGTGGAAATGAACACACGCCGTCCACGGAGTCGAAAAAAAAAAAACGACTCATAGAGCGGCATCAGCAACTACTATAACTCTTGTTCATGAATCAAGGGTAGCCCACTCAAAATTGCTTAGCATTTCATAGAGGCATTTCATTTGTATATAATATGTACAGATACTGTCGGAACGGTTTGATAGCCGAATTCGTGGAAACTGAGAAAGTCTAAAGGAAAGTATATAAGGAAAACGCATAGCTATATGGGCTCGGAGAAGTTATCGGTGCTTTCAAGATGAATCTGAACAGAGGAACCGTATGTAGACCACATTTGAGCAATCAGTGCTATGTCATTGTTATGCTTGTTGATGTCCTATGGTAAAGCGGAATTAGATGGATATTGTCGACCCATGATCCCATTTGCATTCATACCTCCAAACGTTCGTTCAGATCCGTCACCACTTGATTCAACTTGACCTGCACAGAAATTCATCAGCTCCAAAGATGTAATACTTCATTAAAATAGGATTCTACATACCACATTAGCAACGATTCTGCTCAGCAAAGCATTCTGCTGCTGTTCATGTGGATTTTCCATGATGTAAGGGACTGGAATGAAAGACTCATCCCGTCAGGCGCGTCACAAGTTTCCAGAAAATAAAAATTTCCAGGCGCGTCCATTTAACAGGTACACTTTTCGACAAGACGTGATTCGAATTTCCTTTCACGAAACATCCACTCACAAAATGTTGGCTGAAGAGAGCATTGTTGAACACCCTGTTGAAGTCAAAGTAGAGGAACCCACTAACGAAGAGGTCGATCCTATTTTACATGAGAGACAAGAGTGGATCAAACACATGCGTTTGAAATTCTGCATTCGCCCCGAGTTCGAAATCACAAAAACTATGATCCATGAGGATGGTACTTTGAACCAAGAGTAAGTATACGACTTTGATTGGAATTTGATACTTCAAAATAATGGGCTAACAGATTTCGAACGATAGCTACTTTCGACCACCTAAGGGAGCAAAGCCTGAAGAAGCTCGCAAATGGACAGATAATGATAAAACTTTACTTATTCAAGGCATAGAGAAATACGGCATAGGCCATTTCACTGAGATATCAAGAGAGCTTCTGCCGAAATGGGTAAGGATCTTTAATCTCAATATTAATTTCTGGATGACCTCCACAAGTGTAACTAACCAAGCATGACCTGCACAGTCTGGAAATGATTTGCGCCTTAAAACCATTCGTTTAATTGGACGACAAAATTTGCAACTTTATAAAGGCTGGAAAGGAAATGCTGATGATATTAGCCGGCAATTTGAGAAAAACAAAGAAGTCGGTTTGAAATATGGAACGTGGAAGCAAGGCTGCTTGGTATATGACGACGATGGCTTAGTGGAGCAAGAACTTTTGGCAATGAAAAGGTCTGATACAGCAACATCAGCTGATAACGAGGACAGTGAGGTAGCGGTAGATGACGACGTGGAAATGGAGGATGTAAGTCCTTTTGCTTAAAGAAAAAAAACCACCAGAAGTGTGGGGTATATTTCCTGTGCCTAATTAATTATATGTCACACAACTCATACAGGCTCAAAAGGCCATCCGGTGAAAAGGACAAATGGCTGTTTTTTCTTGTACAATCTCCCCACAAGCACTCGTGTTGTACATAGTTATAGTGAATCTTGATCAATGAAATATTCCTGTTACAATCTTACACATCACTTGTGCATTACCAAATGAAATAATTTCCGTTCTGTAAATGGTGCAGTGATTAACACATTTAAGCTGGTATGCCCAATCGTTTACCACCGATCAACAAATTTAAGGTTGGGATGGCCACCCGCTTTGAATTGATCACAAGGAAGACAACGCACTGCCGATTATTAGATCAGCACCGCGGCCTGTTTGTCCCAAGACGATGGGTCTAACGTTAATATTACGGCCGAGCACCCACGCGGGCGACATACGAAACCAACCTCTTGTAATGCCTTGACCTGAAGAGGCAACTATTAAAATGGAGTGGGGGAGAGGCGATATCGATTGCTTTTAATTAATTTTATGTTGTGATGCATATACCAATGTTGAAGAAGGAATCTTGTTATAATAACTACTTTAATACAGCTCGTCGATGGGGCTTACAATGACTCGGCATGCGGCCCATTCCGCCGCCCATATCCACCAATATTCTTTCGTGAGACTTCTACACCACGCACTTGCATGCATGTGACCTTTTCCATGCTAGTTGATATGTGTAGCACACCAATGTGAAAAATTCATACGTCGCATCATTTTTCCGCCATTATCATCTTCGTTGACCGAGTGGTCCATGTGTTCAGTACAATGCTACACAGCATTGTTGTAGTCCGGAATATTGTTTGTGTTGGGAAGAACCATCAACAATAAAAAGGATGGCAATGGCCGTTTCAACCTTTCCAAATATCGCTTTCCTGCATTCATACGCCGTCATAAATGAAAGCTCTATTGTCCCTTCTAGCTGCGGCCACAGTGTTGGTTCAGACTGTCACATCTGATTCATTCGTAAAGGCTTCGGGAACAAAATTCACCTTAGACAATCAGCCATTTTATTTTGAAGGAAGTAACGCATGTATGTACACCAAAACAAAAAATATCAAATTGGTATCTATAGCTGGTTTTAATGTTTCATCATTCATTCCCATTCAGACTACTTGATGACTGCCAGTCAGCAGCAAGTTCAAGATGTATATACTGCCGCCAAGCAGCTTCATCTTCCAGTTATGCGCACTTGGATATTCAATTTGGGAACCAACTCTGTCTGGTTTCAGCAATGGAATTCTGCCACAAAGACTATGACTATCAATGATGATGCTACCACTGGTCTCGGCAGAATGGATTATGTTATTCAACAAGCTCAAGCTGCCGGTATTAAGCTCATCCTTACGTTGACTAACAACTGGTCTGACTATGGGTAAGGACAGAACAAAACCTAATCATTGCGGCAGTAAAATGTACAATATTAATTATGATCCCTCATAGTGGTATGGATTACTATACTACCAACTTTGGCGGCACTTACCATGACCAATTCTACACTCAAGCCAACATTACTGCTTCTTATAAGGCATATATTAGTCACGTCTTGAACCGTAATAACACCTTGACAGGTGTCCTTTACAAGGTGAGCTATAATGCATTGCTATTGATATATCCACATGGATAACGATGTGATAAATCTGACTAAAGGCATGTATATCAGAATGACCCAACTATCTTTGGATGGGAATTGGCTAACGAACCTCGCTGCGGAGGTTCTGGCGGTATTCCTGCTTCTTCTTCTTGCAACACCAACGTTATTTACAACTGGGTCAACGATATTAGCTCTTACATCAAGTCTATTGACACTAACCACTTGGTTGCCGTTGGAGACGAAGGTTTCTTCAACCATACTGGCACTTATGAGTAAGGATTTAACTATGCTGCTTGTTATGGTCGGACATTTGACACAGGCAATTTACAATGTACTGCATTTTAGATACGTCTATGACGGTGGCCCGGGTGTTGACTTTGATGCAAACTTGAAGCTCCCTTCTATCGACTTTGGTACCTTCCATTTGTACCCAGAGGGTTGGGGTAATGTATTACAGCAAACTGGAACCTGCATTCCTTGAAAGTCCCATGTATTAATCTTGGTACGGAATCCTATCGTTTTCAGGCTATGGAACCAATGATACATGGGTGTTGCAATGGATTAGTGACCATGTTGCTTCTCAAAACGCCATTGGAAAACCTGTTATTTTGGAAGAATACGGTATGAGCACCGATGCTCTCAGAGCTGCCCACTACCCTATCTGGCATAGTCTTATGGAAAGCAGCGGTTTAGCTGCTGATGCATTCTGGGAACTTGGTATCTCATCTCAAGCTGGTTTAGACGACAATACCATTTATCCCACAGACGCCACCGTCAATGTCACTGTTGTAAACCATGCTCTTGCCATGTTGGCTAAGGTAAATAATTGTACTGGCTTTAAAGTCATGTCTAGAGTCACGGTAGCTTACTGTTATTTTTTTTATTTATTTAGAATGGTGGTTCTTCTACAACGACTACCACAGCATCTACCACCGGAACCACCTCCTCATCCACCACCACCACCACTACTAGCAGCAAACCTACTACCACAACCACCAAGACCACAACAACTACTACCACAACCACAACCACGTGAGTAATTTTCATCACTGACGGAATTGAAATATTCTGTACGCTCTCTAACCTGCATGTTTCGTAAGCACTTCCGCTACTGCTACTGCATCATGCGCAGCTCGCTGGGGCCAATGTGGAGGTGTTAACTGGACGGGTCCTACATGTTGCGGAACCCCTTATACTTGCCAACTGCAAAACCCTTGTAAGTTCACTTATTCGTGTTTGTTTTTTTTTTTTGTTTGCAGGTATTTTCTAATTCCTTTTTAATGGTTTTTTTCCAGATTATTCCCAGTGTTTGTAGACCGCCATTACATTTGCTCCCAGTAAAGTAAACAAAGTTACTTTCCGGTAGATGCCCTATGATTATGACTTCAACAGCTTTAACAAAATGCTATTCAATAAATGAAGCTTATATTAAATAAGGAAGAAAAATAAACAACAACTACAAGTCATGATGGTTAAAGCAGATATTTCCTTTCTTCGCTAGACAATACCGATGGCACAAACAAGCTTCTGTTTCTATGAACATCGCCGCGTTGCCGCAGTGGAGACGTTTAACCAGACTCATAAATTAAAGACAACCTTTCTAAACAGGATTGTAGTATGACCGACGCAAATAAACTAGCATGGTTGTTTGTTGCTTTGGAGGTCACATGGCAATTATTGCAGCCAGCTAAAGCACTGGTTATTGGTGTGATCGGACTTTGATGTGAGTTCCCCATGAGCAAGCTGACTTCGGAAGGCCGTATTTGCTGTAGTCAGCAAATTTTGGATTTTACCATATGGCCTGTCTTCAAAGATGTTCGTCCCATGAAATGGAACATATTACTTGCCCTTTTGACTGGCATCCATACGAGCCTAATACCGCCACGTGATTCTATGTGTGTGGCAAATTTGGTGAAACCCATTCGTAAACCACGTGTTGGAGTGGAAGAAGCGAGAGAGCAAAGGCACCTAAAAAAAAAAATATTACAATATTTGAAACCGACCAAACAACACCTTTTCTCTTTCTCTCTCTCTCTCTTAATCTCTTTTTCCCTTGGCAACGCTTATTTATCGAGGACCATTTTGTATGAGCCCTTCGTACTAGCTCAACCTACTTATCAAGCTTAATTCAACATGGAGCCTACCATCTCACACTATCCACCCGAACATTCGCCCATGCCATCTACCCTTCCACCAATAGATAATTCTCGCCCTGCCTGGCGACGTCCTTCGTTGGACCCTTTCCGCCAGCTTTTTTCCGAGCAACCTCGCTCTCAACTGCCCGAACACCCTTCTATGCATGGTCCCATTATGTTACCACCGCCAACTTATTCAACACCAAGTGCTCCCAATAGCCGTCGAGGGTCTCTCGCCACGTCATATGCATCGTCCCGCTCACCTTCTCCTACAGCCCCATCTGTTCCGCGCCCAAGTCCGTTGGACCATCGTCCTGATTTGACAGGTCGCCGCCGTGACTCTTTGCCTTCCATTGTTGCCATGCAAGACGATCAATCTGACCCTATTCGACGACACTCTATCTCCGCATTTAGTCAACAGCAACAGCCACCCCATTCGAGGAGAGGCTCTTCTCAACTTCGATATGCCACAGATGATACGGATATGGATGAAGATATGGACGGTAAACTCACTCCGTACTCTCGCAGCCCCGAACTGCGAGTCAGCCATAAGCTGGCCGAACGAAAACGCCGAAAGGAAATGAAAGATCTATTTGATGATCTTAAGGATACGTTGCCCGTGGAGAAAGGACTGAAAACAAGTAAATGGGAAATACTGAGTAAAGGTAAGCTGCGGCTGGCTGGACTGTCAACTGAGCTTTAAAACCACGCTATTCACCACGTTTTTCCATCAGCCGTTGAATATATTGCCGCTCTCAAGGGAAGAGAAGAGAGCCACGCACGGGAGATCGATGAACTTCGACGAGAGATTGCCATGCTTAAAGGCAACCGCTGAACATATTGCTATTTTTTTTAAAAAAAGAAAAAAGTATCTCTACCTGTGAGAGTGTGCTTCATCCCCTTTTTTGTTGTATCGCCACCATTTAAACCACCACGCCTTGGTTAAGCCTCGCGCGCTTATGTTCACTATCACACACGCTTTCACCATACACACACAAAAACCCATCCTTATTCTACATACCCGCGATCAAACATGCCAATGAGCTGAACTCATTGTACTCTCATAAACTTCACCCAGCTCGTCTATACTTTGAACTGTCGCTTCGTACTACTACTTTAGTTATATTTTCTTCTTCACTATTTCCTCTCGTTTCAATCCCTTTCCTGTTGTATTTAATTTTGATAACTTTTGCTGCATGCTTTTTTTTTCTTTTCTTCTGGTATTGTTCTTCCTTTATATTTATTATTACATTAAAAAGCAGATTGAACCATTGTCTTTCCTCCTATACCGATGTAGCAATGGCTTTTCCGTTGGATCGTCTATGCGCTTGCAGATATTGAGAGACAGATTTGAGTTTGCTAGGTTGCCACTCACCGTTGTAAATGCAAAGGACTCGCATTTTGTCAGAGTAGTAGAGATCCGGTAGCAACTTGGGCGTAATTAAAAAGTACCTTTGCAACCAAGTTGAATTAGTTGTCCAGTCGATACATCCTTATACAACTGCGTGTTCCTTTTATACTTACTGACTGGTACCTGGCTTGGTTGCGCCACGAACGATCTGTTCATGAATCCTGCGCTCATTACGAGGGTCCATGCCCTGATTTATCTCATCTACGACACGGAAAGGCGACTTGGCCAGCTCTTGAAGAGACATCAAATACAAAATAGTGGATACCGCGCGTTCACCACCCGACTGTCGTTGGCCGGTTAGGAGTTGCAGCTGTTCAGTGTCTCTGAAGTCAAATAAAACCTGCATTAGCATACAGGCAGCTTATAAACATATCTCCCTTCAATAACAGCCAGCAATACTGTACCTGAACTTGACAAGAATATCTATCCCCCACTCCTCAAAGTTTTCATGTTCGCTGATGGTGACCTCGCCAGTGCAGTCGATTTCTATTAGAGCAGTTAATAAATGCATGGAGGGTCTACTTGACCTTCTGAGATGTCTCACCTTGGAATGCAGCTGAGAACTTTGCACTGATCTTTTCTATCAGTGAACGCAACCGAGGCTCCCATAAATTCTAAAATGGTCAGGTCGTTAACGCTTGCAGCACAATGGCAGTACCATTACGTCCTTCTCCACTAGTATCACATCCTTACCCTCAGCTCTGTTATGTTAGCTTCTAAGACGTCTAGTCTAGACTTTCGGCTGACCAAGTGATCTTCTAGAGTTTTGATCTGTAAAAGGAAAAAGTACCAAATGCCATTAGGACCATAGTCAGCAGCTCACATTTGGAACAGTGATGCCATTATATTTAGCCGAAAACTGTTCGACATTGCACTCGATCTTACCTCTGCGAGACGCTGTCCATAATGCTGCATAGCCCAGGGGTTGGCTGCTCTTAGAGCATCCGCTTTAGCCTGCTCAGAGTTGATTTCATCTTCAATTTGTGTCAAGGAAATTTCAACCTCTTCATTTTGAAACTTTTGGAACAGCTGGTTTCAGCAAGAGAATAATAAGATTGATATATTAGAAAGGAGTGCCCCAAAACAGACTTTTGTTAGTCTCACTTCCATGTAGGCTTACCTCTGCATACTCGGCCGATTCATCTGATGAGACTTGTTCCCGCAATTCTTCACCAGCACGCTTAGCCACCTCATGAGCTTTCTTGGCTCTGTTCTTGGCCTCTCTATATTCTGCATCAGCAACATTGTACTTGACTTGTGCCTCTTTGAGGGACTGCGTTCGCGACTCATAAATTTGATTAAAGAACACAATTTCAGCCTTGATCTGGAATATCCCTAGTTCGAATTCGTTTCGTTTTAGAGTAGCAGGTATATACTCGCTCTCTAAAATGGTGGTGTATCGGTTGCAAAGTTCCACGCGTTTCAATACGTCTCGTTTGAGGTTTTGCTCAAGTTGTGCAATTTCAATCTGATCTTCTGCAGGTTTGGACTGTGCTTCGGCCAAATCACTACGTTTGCCTTCCAACTTGAGTTTCCGTGCATCGTACTTTTGAAGGACCTTGTTGATCTCTTTCTTCTTAGTCAATGCAGCTTCTCGTAATTCCTGTATATCTTGTTGCGTTTGCTTCAATTTCCGTTCTTTATTTCGCATGCTCGTTTTACTTTCCGTTGCCTCCTTCTGTTGTTGTAACAGGTTTTTGAGCTCGTTCTCTGTTCTTGTTTTAATTTGGGTATCAACTGTTTGAAAGAACACATCATGAGCATTCACTCTTGTGCCGTACATTAAATGGCCACTATCACTGTACCAGAGTTAGAAAGGTATTCTGCCTTTCGTATTTTTCGCGTGCTAGTTTGCTGGCCACCAGAACCATAAGAGTACTTGCGCACCTCGTACATCGTGTCCTCTACAATATATCGTCGGAACTTTCCACTTTCTGATATCATTGCTTCGTTTGCTGGATTTAATGAGATAGGCTGCGTGATGCTCTATCTTAGTACAACTATCTTGATAGAAATAACCGCTGTATACCAAAAGACTTACTATAGCATGTATCACCGTCAATTGACACAAGTATGCACGGACAATAGGTGGTAGTTCGACCAAATCAGAGAGGTAATGCTCCAATTTGAACGTTTCACGTAGCTATGAAAAAAAAAACATAATGAAGCATTATTTACATGTGGTATAATAATATGAAGGTACTGCTGATATACGTTACCTTTTGCAAAGGAACAGGGGGGCTAAAGGCATTGGTATTAATTCCACCCGGCCAACCCACATTGACCTTGAGCTTTTGTTTGTCGATGATTTCGCTAGTGAATATTTTGTAGTCTTGCTGCAATTCGCAAGTGAACAGCTAAATGGTCGTCATGGTGGTACGCGCGTAACATCATGTTAGAAGAAGCATAATGACATTGACCATATGAACAACATGCATACATACCTTCAAATGCGGGCCATTTATACCGCCAAGAACAGATTCAATGGCACTCGCGTATCGAGGGTCTCTCACATTCAATTCAAGTAGGATGGGCTCATACACGTTACCAGTAAATCTTTCCTGGTTCTTTTCAAGCCACTGGACAGCCTTATAAGTATCCAGGTCCTTTTCTCTCAACTTTTCGAGACGTTGCTTTCGGACATTTTGTAAATCCGCGAGCCTATCAAGAGCAACCGATCAGACAGGGAACGGTACTAAGCTATAATTGCGCACTGTCGCTTGAACTTACTGCCGCTTTTTCAAATCCACAGCTTGATCTATTCTTCTCGTTTGCCTTTCTTGATCGCGCTGAGAGTCGACCACCTCAGATAAATCATCGCCAACCTCACGGCTTCGACGGCTGAGCTCATCCTTGAAACATAATTGCTGGTCAGTGCAATTCAATCAAGCATACCTTATCGAAACGAGTATGTGCAACTTACAATTTCCAACTGAATTTGACTCGTATCGGCTTCAGGGGGTCCTTCAGCTAAAATACTTTCCAGTCGTTGAATAGCCGCTTTCAGATCTGCAATCGCCTGTGCTCTAGGCTCGGCTCGTTGTTTGATGGTAATGATTTTGTTCTTGCTTTCAGATATATCCTGAGCCTAAATAAGTAGGGGACGCATCACGCGATTTAGTTTCTCAAGCTCAGCGGTTTAAAAAGAGATCGCATTATGCTTACCACTCTCTCTATTCTACTCTTCAATTCGCTGAGCTGGGTATCATGCCTATCTACCACCTGATTCGTTTGATTAAAATGATGGTTCAACACCTTTAATTTTTCTTCCTGAGCCCTGATATTATTTCACCAAACACATTGTTAATTCCACATATCCAACCTTGAATGACAATTTCTATCCAAACATTTACCTTTTAACGGAATCCATTGGCATGTTTTCAGTCTTGTAGCGGTTCAACTCCTCTGAAGCCGATTGCCTTGCACTTTTGGAGACATCATATGCCTTCTTTGCATCAGCATATTGCGCCAGTGGAATCTTAGCTTTGAGTATAGAAATTCTTTTGAGAATCTTTTCGCGTTGTTGCATTTTCACTACATCTCGCTCAAGGTATGAATTTCTGTCGCGTAAGGTTTTCAAATGCTCCTCATCCGATGACCGTTCCTATGCGAGTTCGTGTCCTATTGAGTAATCTCAATCCAGCATGGCTCAATTGCAAGTCAGTACTTACAGTTCGAAGTTGCTTTTCCTCTTTTCGAAGTGCAATCAGCTTTTGATGCCATTCGCTCATTTGCTGTTCTCCAACTGCGACCTGAGTTCGCTCGAGTAACTGTGGCGGTAAGAGCTAGAAACCACCCATTCATTTTGTTAGGTAGATTTGAGCCAATTAAACTAATCGGAATATGGCACATTACCTGGGCAAACTCGGCCACCTTATCTTGCGGTAAGAATTGACACAAATTGTCCACTTGGATATTTAAGCTCGATATAGCATTCATCACATCCTTTTGAGATTTGCTTTCGCCTATAATCCGTATTATTAGCTGGTTCACCATGGTACTATTCGTAAGAACCATGCCTACCATTCAGTTTCCACTGGCTTGAATTGTTCGCCTTTTGAATATTACGTTGAATTATCAAGTTACGGCCAACCATACGCTTAAGTTCGATTTCTACAGTAGCGTTCGTTTTCCCCGTCTTTACAAATTCAGATATATTTCTGGCTCTGCCAAGGACAGTTGTCGATCCTCCGAGACCGAGAGCAATGGCGCATACTATGGTAGATTTCCCAGTTCCATTCGGGCCAATTATCATATTCAATTGAGGACCCGGGAAGAATTCGCACCAGTCGTATGTAACAAAGTTCGTGAGGGCGATTCTTACAATGGAACCATTGACGTATCTAGAAGTAAGCATTTAGAGTGATGCAACGAGCTTTTGGGTTGAATATTGCAAAGGTATGCCATACCCGGATCCGTCTGTCCGAAGGTGAGATTCCGCGGCCAAATTTGTCGATACAGTGACCGCAGCACCATTATTCGCTTTTATTCGCTTTGCTACGCTTTGATCTTCGTCTGACGACGAGTCGCTCGGGAGATCGCCCAGCAATTGCCTCCTGCGTCGCGAAGTTGTCATAAAGAAGCCGAGTTGACAGTCGCGCCTACTGAGTGAAAAATGACCTTCTTGATTTTGCCAGTCACCGCGCAGACACATTGGGCCATCCACGCACTCCACCATAATGACACTATAGCAAAGCATAAGTGCCTTATCGCTTTTCACAATTATCTATCTCAAAATCTTGTCGCTTCTAGCATTCCTTGGTTATTAATGATGATGCATACAGACATAATATAGATACGACTTCTTTGTATCTTGAGAATTTGGTACTCAGCTGGAGCTGTGAAGATAATAAAACCTCCCCTCACCCGCTACAGCTTCATAAAAGATCTCATTGCCTACCTGCTCAGCTTCGGCGGTCTCACAACTCCAGTGCATTGGAATTGAAATACGATCAGGGTAGGTTGACACCCTCCTATTCCATAACGCATTATGATCATATTTCGGATCCCATACAATAGACACAGCCAAGAGAGCTACGACCATATTCAATAGGATATCATGTACTTCTACTACTGCAACAATGTAAGCGCATAATCAACGCTTGTTTCAGTGAGTCATAGAATTTTAATACAGAAAAATCGTTCACTTTTTGGCACCGGTTTGAGCCACGTTTACCCCGAACGGTAACCCGTACCTGTAATTCAAACAAGCTCGTAAAGGACAAGAAGATACGACCTAAGGCCATCACTGGGGGGTCTCAAAGATCCGACGCTTATTAAATTAATCTACAAGTTCAAGCTGCCAACTTCCAAGACCTCTGCTTTCTGCCGCCATGCTGGCTCGCCAACTGCGCCAACCTGCCACTTGCCCAAAGTGGTTCGCAAAACCCTTCGGACATCATAGTTTTTTTGACAACCTTTGGCAGCCTCCACGCCAAAAATATTTGTATCATGAGCTTTCCAATAACATTATATTCTTAAAGATGGTTTCTATTCCATAATTTCTTTTCGCTTTCTTTCGTTTCCATCATAGTTGCCCATTCTGCATATTTATTCTGATCCATTCATTCAACTTCCATAATGGTAAACAACTCACGACTTCCAAGCGAAATACTTCGATACATTTTCCAAGATTTATCTTACATTGACTGGTACAGTTGCTCCTGTACTTGCTGGACGTGGAACGGCATTGCAAACATGTTCTTGTACAAAAACGTGTGCTGGCTTTCCGATGAAAGTTACCAAAAACTCATGCTAGCCCTCACGACATCCAATTCCACAAGTATTAGCAGCTACACGAGAGCGAGCGCAAGACAGAAGCAGCTTGGAAGCCTTATAAACCTAATGGAGCTACGGATTCGAATATTTTCATTTCTTTCCAGTGACCTTTGGTACTTGCCGCCGTTGTCTACACTTGCTTCAATGACGCCAAACGTACATACAGTCTATGTACGTGATTCTCGCGAATTCATAGAGGTACCTTCTGCGTTTGACTACGCATCAAAGTGGCCAAAGTTGAACACTCTTGTATTGAGCTCACTTGCATATTACTTATCAAGTAACACTATCAACTTCATCGATGTCCTGAATAGACTACAGCATCTAGATATCGTTTATGCCTATTCCTTTCCAGAGTACATACTCCCATTATCGCCAATCAGGTTGAAACTACAATCACTCAAAATCTGTATATTCAACCAGCTCCAGTACGAAGGAGCCAAGATGATCATAGAATGCTGCCGAGACTCTCTGAATACACTGGTGATATCATGGGAAGTAACGGATGAAAGCCACCCACCGTTGAGCTTAGATAATCTCATACTGGGACTCCCAAACCTCAAGGTACTTGGCTTGACCTATACGTTCCATTCAAAGTTTACCATCAGTAGCTTTGGAGAGCAACTAGAAGAGCTCGAGATCCATGTAAATAAGGCTCGTCGTGAGCAACTAGAAGAGCTGATAGGAGGGGTCCTGAAGAAAACTACCAATCTCAAGACGTTAAGCCTTGGAACTAAAGTTTCTCCGTTCGTTGAAGATATTCCTATGGTCATACAAAGCAACTTGGCGACATTACAAAATCTTTATCTTAGTTGTAGTTCTGGAAATAATTTGTTAACGAGCTTAATCATGATGGACGTTCGATCGGAGAACCTCTCAACTCTTTCCTTTGAATGTATGAACTTTAGCGATTACATGATTCGTAGTCTGGCCGGCATATTTCCCAAGCTGGAATACATGGACTTGACACGAGGGAGACTTTCTCTGGGACAGCCATGGATCATGAAGGAGTCACTTTCTTTGTTCCGGTATTTAAAGGGCATTAACGCAAAAACGATGTTCAGCGAACTGGTTGATCCAAGCAGGTATAATTTTGCGAAATACGACTTAGAAAGACTCTCAATTCTACCAGCAACCTACATTTGATATCGCAAATGTGTAGAAAGCACTTTATGACAATGTTTCATGCTGATGATTGAATAAAATAGCTTTCTAATGCCATAAACAATCATCCCGCCTTTACTCTGCTTAACCCTTTAGTAAATTGCCCAATCTAGGGAGGATCTCATGACTCGAATATTTATATCATCTTTGTGGTGGTACCTCCATCTCATTTCGCCTCAATCACAACCACTTTACATTGCAGAGATCGCAGGCCCTTTGATTACAGCGAATCATACAACATTGATCTTGTTCAGTTTAACGTCATTAGTCACTTCACTGTCATATACTCAGTTGCCTTCCGTTCCGCCAGTTCGCTTTTACAAAAGCCTCAAACCCTTACATTCACATTTTTCTATGGTAAGTACGTTTATTCTGTAGGAGCAGCCGCATGTGAAAGTTCTTCTACTAAAAGGTGCCAACCAACCTCACCTTTCACTGCCATATGTTATCATTACGTCTCCCCTCCATCAGATATCGTGTTCGCCACTTATCACTTTGACTCCATTGACTTTTCATCACCTGAGATGAGTCAACCTCTATACCTTCCAAAGGAACTACTGGAGCTTGTTTTTGAGGAATTGGATATTTCAGACCTAGTCAGCTGCTCCTACACAAGTTGGTTTTGGAACGACACTGCCAACGTACTCTTGTATCGTGAGATAGACGGTCTCCCTCTATATAGAGTGAAAAAACTCCTCAGAACACTTGCTCCACCTCGGTTTGAAAATGACAACGACACATCAGAGGTAACGACAAGACAAAGGAAGCTTGGAGGCCTCGTAAAAGTGATCAAAATGTTTGAGATAGGAGGAGACGATGCAAATGTATTATCACATCCGACATTCGCATATATATTGGAAACAGCAAAGTTAGGTTTGCTCACTCCAAACGTACATACAGCAGAAATGTACGAAGCGAAACCATTTAAACGTGACCAACTACCTTCACCACCCTTTCGATGGGGCCTATCCGAATCTAAATGGCAACATCTAAAACGGTTGACTATCATTTCCTCCGACATACGTGTTTCTGGGTGCATTAGGAAGGACTTTTTCGATATGCTTCTTCAATTAGATCATCTCGATATGCTGGATGCTAAGAAATTCTTAAGCTGCGGCTCTCCATCAGTGCCCATTACCCCAAATTTGACATCGCTCAAGGTCTCAGTTCGCGATAAGATCCAATATGATCACGTCATGATCATGCTCCAAAGTTGTCGACGTACATTACATGCCGTGGCGATACAATGGCTTCCATACGGCTCTATCTCACAATCATTCAACCTTGAAAATCTTATAAAAACACAACTCAATTTGAAAGCACTTGCTTTGACATATGATAAGAATTCACGTCTTACCATCAGCAGTTTTGGGGACCAAATAGAGGTACTTGAAGTAATAGGAAATCGGCGAGGCAATGAGCAGGTCGAAGAAGAAATTGGAAAGGCAATGATGAAGGCATCAAAACTCAAGACTCTCAGTCTTGGGACATGCTCATACTACACGGAGTATATTCCCACAATCATTGACCGGAACAAAGCGACTTTACACAGCTTATATTTAACTAGTGACGTTGGCGACGAGCTGATTGACTTATTGCTTGCGGCCAACGTACGGGCTGATCAAGTAGCCACGCTTTGCTTCGAATGTCGCTACCTGGACAACTCAATGGTACAGAGCCTTGCTGAGATATTTCCTAGCGTAAATTATCTCGGACTAGCGAGAGGAAAGGCTAAATCGGATCGGAAATGGATAGCCCCTCAGTCACTCTCTTATTTTCGAAAGTTAGTAGGTGTAGATGTATGGACTTTTCGTGAACTTCTTGATCCAGATAGTTATCATGGATCAAAATACAAAATTCGGAGGCCATTGATGCTTAAGTCGTCACGTTTTGGCGACTATAGTATGTAAAATACGCTATATGATACCACGCACATCATGAAGAATACAAAATATTTAATTTTTATGAAAAGCTGCTATTCAAATCTTTATTGTCCTTCCTTTGTGGTACTAGCAGCGTCATAGGTCGCATACATCGTCTTGTTTTACCAATATTTGCTTGCTTTCGAGAAGGTTAGAAAAATGGCAAGTTAAAAAAGATAGCTACTGCGGCAGGTTCTCTAATCACGGATAGGTGTGATACGACGTCAGATTAATATGATTTTTATTGATGCTTATCCTTCTTGGCTTACACAACGTACGAGCTATTAGTCATGCGACAATATGTCATGGAGCGGCCGTCTGCATAGAGCTATTATAATCTTTCTACAAGATATGTTGATGGGAATAAAATATATAGTATCGGTTCTCTTCTTAAACTTGTTGGTCCTGTACGGATGATGAAAAATCTGGTAATTTCCAACCGCCTCTTTCCTCCGATGAAAATCTGGCGACAAGCTCAGGTATGCGGAGGAAACAGATCGTTCCCATAATGAAATGCATAATAGAAACACCCCATTGTGTGTCAGGAAACATACACCGCAAAAAACTTTTGTTAAAGACCTGAATCTCGTCGATAAACGGTCGCAGTGTCTTCTCGTAGTTTGCAAACGCCTGTGGAAGATCTTCTGAATTTCGGTTGATTTCTCCTGCTAATACATACGCACCAAAGAAGCCGGCCGTAGTTCCCATTCCACTTAGAGGAGAAGGACAGTATCCAGCGTCACCAAGAAGTACCACACGGTTCTTGTACCAAGTATCTGTACGAACTTGAACGATTTCCTGGCAATAAAAGTTTTCTGTCGTCTTCAAACCTTCCAAGAATCGATCCGTTTGCCATCCTGCCCCGCGAAATTTCTGCGTCACAAATTCTTTTTGTTGCTCAACTGAACCTTTGAGAATGCTTCTTGTTTCCTCCGACTCATCCCTGAATGCAAAGTAGGCTTGAGCTTCAGTAGGACTGTGACTTCTGCTCATGACGACTCGGCCACCAGGACAGTGATAGGCTTTGGCAAGGTTAGTGTCCATTTCGGCGCGAGGCACAAACCAGTAGAACATATACATCCCCAATCGTCTATAAGGTTCTGGAGCGTCAGCGGGTTGTATAGCTTTTCGAATGCGAGATCCTTGGCCGTCCGCTCCAACTAGCAGATCGAATGTATCGGTGCGGCCATCCGAGAAGTGTACTTCGACGTGATCTTCGTATTGTTCGAAACGTTCAACAGTAACGCCAAATATATAATCTACATCATCCTTGGTAGCATCATAGAGGATTCGTACAAGGTCACCCCGCATGATCTCGAATTCTGATGTTACAGTCTGAGCTCCCTTTCCAGTCTTGTTGGCCAAGACAGTTGCTTTGGGTGTGTTGTTTGCGTCTACCATTGACATCCCCGCTTCGTCAACAACTTTGGAGCGAACGACATCGATGAGTCCCATACGCTTAACAACCTCAATTCCTTGAGCACGGATATCGATTTGTGCACCTGAGGCTCTAAGAGCTGGGAAGCGTTCCACAATAGTAACACGGTGGCCGGCACGAGCGAGCCAAAAGGCCAAGGATGGACCAGCACAGCCTCCTCCGCAGATGAGAATTTTCAGTGGAGCCATAGTAAGTGAGTTCTTAAAGACGTGATTTGAGTGTATGTGGAGTTGAGAGCAGTGATTGTTCAAAGAGTTAAATTCTTCAAAAGTGGTAATATTAACCAGAACGACCTGGTGGGGTGTGCCTTAAATAAGGATTGAAACTCGGCGGACTGCCCTCTGGGATCACGCATAGCGGCAAAATTTTGCCGATGTTTGGCATTTTTACTTGGCTAGCATCAACTTGATCCAGGCACAAAACAAAAACTCGTACCAAAACACAAAATAATACGGATGCTGACTACTACAGATCGAATACTAGACCCTTCCTAAGCTCATGCATTTGTCCACTGAATACCAGCAAGGAGTCATGTCGCTATTGATGAGTCAAGAAAACTTGGCGGGCATTGCCAAGTCCGGAAGCCAAGTATCAAAACTTTGAGTCAAAAATCTTTGAGCGATCCCACAGCCGAGAGAAATTTATGAGAGGGTTTAATGCGCCTTCGCCGCATCGGGCCGATAAAAAAATATCAGCACATTTTTACTGGAGCTGGTCCAGCTGGCCTTTCACTTGCACAGTACCTCAAGACTCATCATGTTCCGTATCTTATCATCGAGAAAGCATCCGAATCTCGTTTGCAAGAATAGGTACCATGTATGTCAGGCTGGATATCCCAAATTACATTACTGATTGATTGACCTCTAGACACACATTTGACGCATTTACCTCTCCTTTCACGTAACATCCTAGCTATTGTTATAAGATAAGGCGTATGGATTTGATAGATTAATAAATAGGTTCTAATCTTTATTTGAGATCTAGTTGTAGAGATGAATTATATTTCTTCAGCGATTTTGTCTCTATCAAAACCTACTGATCCAGTCTAACCTCCGGGTAATCTGGTAATTTCCAGCCGCCTCTTTCCTCCGATGAAAACCTGGCGACAAGCTCAGGTATGCGGAGGAAACAGATCGTTCCCATAATGAAATGAAGGACAGAAACACCCCATTGTGTTTCAGGATACATATACCGCAAAAAACTTTTGTTAAAGACCTGGATCTCGTCGATAAACGGTCGTAGAGTCTTCTCGTAGTTTGCAAATGCCTGAGGAAGATCTTCTGAATTTCGATTGATTTCTCCTGCTAATACATATGCACCGACGAAGCTGGCCGAAGTTCCCATTCCAGTAACTGGAGAAGGACAGTACCCAGCATCACCAAGAAGTACCACACGGTTCTTGTACCAAGCGTCAATTTTTACTTGAACAATTTCCTGGCAGTAAAAGTTGTTTGTTGTCTTCAAACCTTCCAAGAATCGATCCGTTTGCCATCCTGCCCCGCGAAATTTCTGCGTCACAAATTCTTTTTGTTGCTCAACTGAACCTCTGGGAATGCTCCTTGTTTCCTCCGACTCATCCATGAAGGCAAAATAGGCTTGGGCTTCAGTGGGACTGTGACTTCTGCTCATGACGGCTCGTCCACCGGGACAGTGATAGACTCTGGCAAGGTTAGTGTCCATCTCGGTGCGAGGCACAAACCAGTAAAAAGAGTACACCCCCAATCGTCTATAAGGTTCTGGAGCGTCAGCGGGTTGTATAGCTTTTCGAATGCGAGATCCTTGGCCGTCCGCTCCAACTAGCAGATCGAATGTATCGGTGCGGCCATCCGAGAAGTGTACTTCGACGTGGTCTTCGTATTGTTCGAAACGTTCAACAGTAACGCCAAATATATAATCTACATTATCCTTGGTAGCATCATAGAGAATTCGTACAAGGTCACCCCGCATGATCTCGAATTCTGATGTTAAAGTCTGAGTCCCCTTTCCAGTCTTGTTGGCCAGGATAGTTGCTTTGGGTGTGTTGTGTGTGTCTACCATTGACAGCCCCGCTTCGTCAACAACTTTGGAGCGAACAACATCGATAAGTCCCATACGCTTAACAACCTCAATTCCTTGATTACGGATATCGATTTGTGCACCTGTGGCTCTGAGAGCTGGAAAACGTTCAACTATGGTGACACGATGGCCGGCGCGAGCGAGCCAAAAGGCCAAGGATGGACCAGCACAGCCCCCTCCGCAAATGAGTATTTTCAGTGGAGCCATAGTAAGTGAGTTCTTTAAGACGTGATTTGAGTGTATGTGGAGTTGAGAGCAGAGGTTGTTCAAAGAGCCAAATTGGTAATATTAATCAGATCGTTGCTTTAAATAATGATAGAAATTTCGGCGGACTGCCCTCCGAATTCGCAGCGTAGCGGTAAAAATTTTGCCGACGCTTTGTGGCATCATTTCACAGAAAAAAATCGACCCAAGCCATTTCTAGCTGGCTGGTGGGTGGCATATACAGGCACAAAGAAAAATACTCGGTACTAGAACACCCAAAATGATAGTGATGCCGACTATTACAGATCGAATATTAGACCCTTTTTAAGCTCATGAATTTGTTACTGAATATCAGCGACGAGGCATGTCGCTATTGATGAGTCAAGAAAACTTGGCGGGCATTGCCAAGTGCGGAAACCAAGCGTCATATTTTTGAGTCAAAAATCTTTGAGCGTCCTATTGCTGAGAGAAAAATTATAGTTTATAAAAAAGGAAGGTTCAATGCGCTTTCGCCGCATCGAGCCGATCAAAAAAATATCATCGCAAGTTTCACTTGGCTCTTACTAAAAATCTCCTATCATGCCCCTAAATTCTGTTTTAATTACCGGAGCTGGTCCAGCTGGCCTTACACTTGCGCAGTACCTCAAGACACATCATGTCCCATTCCGTATCATCGAGAAAGCATCCGAATCTCGTTTGCAGGGATACTCAGTCACTTTACATTTTGGTATTCCCTATATTACTCAAGCCATGGGACAAGAGAAAATGGACGGTTTCGCCGAAAAGACATCAGTCCTCTATACTGATGTTACTGGATTTGCCACTGTTACTGCGGATGGGGAAATCCTGATCCAAACACGAGGTACACCTACTATTGTTGGAACTGGTTTTCGTGCAAATCGATCTAGGCTACGACAATTTCTTTTGGATGGCTTGGACTTGGAGACAGGCGTAGAAGTGACTGGTGTAGAATTCCCTAGTGATGGTGTCGTCATTGCTAAATCCAACAAAGGTGACATTATGGCTGATATCATTGTCGGAGCTGACGGTCTACACAGTTCGATCCGCCAGAGTATCATTGGTGACAAAGTCGAGGAGCTTACCATTATGAATCTAAGTGGATCAACACATATTACTGCAGAGCAGTATAAAGCCTTTGCCAAGTACAGCCCAACGCATGCCATGGTTCATGGAACGAAGTTGCCAGGGAAAGAAGGTGTAGCCAACATATTCTTCGGCATCAACGATTTTTCGAAGGACAACAACACATACCACATGCGTTGGGTGATATCATGGGATAGAGCTTTAATATACAATGATATCCCAAATACGAATGCTGGACTGCATGAATTTGCACAAGAGATCGCTTCACAATTCTGCGAACCATTCAAATCCATAGTGCAAGAGACTGATCCAACAAGTAAAATTTGGCTGGGCAAAGTGTGCCAGTATATGCCCGATCCGAGCTGGAATGGAAATGGTAAAGTTACTTTGATCGGCGATGCGCTACACTCTATGACACCGTACCGCGGGGAAGGTTTAAACCACGCTATGATCGATATCGTCCAACTTGGAGAACAGTTGGTCAAAGCACATCATGATGAAATCACTATAGCTGAAGCCATTGCTGCCTATGAAGCTGAAGCCATTCCTAGAGGAAAGCGAGCAGTACAAGCTAGCTATGAATCAGCCTATCAACTCCATGAAGGATTTTCTTGGCTAGTCACTCGAATTACAAAGTTATTTGGCTTGACATTGTATTATTCTGGTCACTTACCGTTTCTACGATTTTTCTTTCCTAAAACCCATTGAAATCACACATACTATTCAACTAAATGTATACCATTAATTAAATTCTAATGACTTCTCTTACCTTCGAGTCTTTAATGGAGGATTATTTCAGTTTGTGAGCCTTAGGGAAAACTGCCAGTGTGATAAGTGCAAGTTAGTCCTACTTGTTGGACTCTGTTTTCTCCTGCTAGCAATACGAAATTTTTTGCCATGTTGTTTACCGCTTACTTGCATTGCATTCATCGGTGCAAGCTAGTGCTTTTGACCTGTTCTGTGCCCACTATACTGTGAAACTGGTAATTTTTGCCGTAGGTGCCATGCTTCGTCAGGCTGGATATCCCATATTACGTTTTTGATTGATCGACCTCTAGACATATATTTGACGCATTTACCTCTCCTTTGACGCAAAATCCTAGCTATTGTTATAAGATAAGGCGTATGGATTTGATAGATTAATAAATAGGTTACATTCTTTTATTTGATATCTAGTTGTAGAGATGAATTATATTTCCTTTAGCGGTTTTGTCTCTATCAAAGCCTACTGATCCTGTCTAACCCCCGGGTAATCTGGTAATTTCCAGTCACCTACTTCATCGCTTGTATACTTGTGAATAAGTTGTGGTATGCGGAGGAAGCAGAACAACCATACAGCAGCATGAAGTATAGTTATTGCTAGCTGCGTCTGAGGTAATCCCAACCCCAATAAGAGCTTTAAATTAATGTTTTGGAGCTCGTCGACAAACGGTCGCAGTGTCTTCTCGTAGTTTGCAAACGCCTGTGGAAGATCCTCTGAATTTCGGTTGATCTCTCCTGCCAATACATACGCACCGACGAAGCTGGCTGTAGTTCCCATTGCGCTTAATGGAGAAGGACAGTACCCAGCATCACCAAGAAGTACCACACGGTTCTTGTACCAAGTGTCTGTACGAACCTGAACGATTTCCTGGCAATAAAAGTTTTCTGTAGTCTTCATACCTTCGATGAATCGATCCGTGTGCCATCCTGCGCCGCGAAATTTCTGTTCCAAAAATTCCTTTTGTTGCTCAATAGGAGCTCTAAATAAACTCCTTGTTTCCTCTGAATCATCCTTAAAAACAAAATAGGCTTGAGATTCCGTAGGGCTGTGGCTCCTACTCACAACCGCTCGGCCACCGGGACAGTGGTAGAATTTGAATAGATTAGTGTCCACTGCGGTGCGAGGCACAAACCAGTATGAGAAATATACTCCCAAACGTCTATAAAGTTCTGGAGCGTCAGCGGGTTGTATAGCTTTTCGAATGCGAGATCCTTGGCCGTCCGCTCCAACGAGCATATCGAATGTATCGGTACGGCCATCAGAGAAGTGTACTTCGACGCGGTCTTCATACTGTTCAAAACTTTCCACAGTAACGCCAAATATATAATCTACGTTTTCTTTGGTAGCATCGTAGAGGATTCGAACAAGATCACCGCGCATGATCTCGTATTCCGCACTGGCAGTCTGACCCCCTTTACCAGTCTTGTTAGCCAGGATAGTTGCTTTAGTCGTGTTGTTTGTGTCTACCATTGACACCCCCTCTTCGTCAACAAGTTTGGAGCGGACAATATCGATCAGCCCCATGCGCTTGATAACCTCGATTCCTTGAGCACGGATATCGATTTGTGCACCTGTGGCTCTGAGAGCTGGGAAGCGTTCAACTATGGTGACACGATGGCCGGCGCGAGCTAGCCAGAAGGCCAAGGATGGACCAGCACAGCCTCCTCCGCAAATGAGTATCTTCAGCGGAGCCATAGTAATTGAGTTGTTGAAGATGTGATATGTGTTGTTGTTAAGAGAGCCAAATTCTTCAATAGCGGGAAATTTATTCACAATTTTTGGCGGCCACTTAAATACCTTGGAGGGTAGGTCGGCGGATCGACCGCCAAATCAGAGAATTAAAATCCAGTCACCCCTTTAAGATGGACAATGGTTCACTTAATGCTTTTGATATTAACATCTTGAACTTCGACATCAAGAATAGGATAACAAATAACTCGACAGCAATGGTCGAGTTTATTGGGCTCGTATTTACTAAGAGTTGACAACGACTTGCTAAGCGCCTCGTTAAGGGAGTTCGGCGGAGCGCCGGATCAAGTAGGTCAGCTATAGGACATACTATGGTGTGTGCAAGTTCGCTCAAACTTGGCTGACTTGGCAACTTGGAAGCAAGTTTAAGCAAAACTCTGACTGACTGCATCGAGAAAGGACTGTAATTAATGCTCAAACACAATAGTGACGAACGGCTATAACCATAGCAGCCTGGAGATTCGACAGCTCCTGAGCCAAAGGGCTTGTCATTGAATATCAGGGGCGGTTTTCGCCGCTATTGGTGGATCTAGGGACCTTGAGATATTTGCGACCGGGATGTTGACAGCTAAAAATAATTGAGTCAAAAAAATCTTTTCATTGCGCACATACCATGTCGGCGTATCAATGACTGCAGGCAAAATTCTTGCCCCCATTACAAACTCTTTTGCTATGCCATATCACCTTCATTCTGTGATAATTATGAAGCTTTTTTTTGCTTGTTCATTCGGATGTACGACGCTCATTTGGCTTGCTACTGTATCATTCCAGCACTTTTGTCGTTTCTACGATTTTACTGTACCTAAACACATTGAAATCGCACATATCATCTTCTCTGAAAATATCTATTGATTCTTGATCATGCTCTGACGGTCGAGGTTGAAAGGAAAGAATAAAGTAGACCTTGCTGACTCTTGGCCAAATAGTCAAATTTGGTGAGTTGGTTGTACGACGACGCAGGCTTATATTTTTATGCAATTCTGTATAATTTGAGCACCGGCGCTTCTTGCTGACATACGATACATACACCTTGCTCGGAATCCACTCATTTGTACGAACATTCCGATCCTTCAGTAATGCACTATCTAATTGCCGTTGCGATTGACAAATTTTAACATTCAAACTAACAGAAGTTTGCGTACCTTGAGTTCGTTGCTCCAGTACACCTTTCAGGGCACAGAGTCACTTATTGCATTTGAATGTCAAGAATTACTGTCGAAAGAAGCATAAATCAACAAGTACCAAGTTAAACCCTTCTGTATGGAAGATATTCCAAGACATAGCCGGGTACACCAGATCGAACTTGACAAGATAAAATCTGCATCTCATCCCCTAGGAGTAACGGTCTCTGTGGCAAATAGGAAATAAAGCTCATTAAGCAATTGAAATTACCAGTAAGTGTCTTTCTGATTTCTCAATTACTTCTCCACCTGAGCCACATTCCATGATATTGATTATATCGATCGACCTAGTATTCTTACCATAAATGACAGATGAACGAAAATTTCCAAACGAGCTGTTGGCTTTGGTCTTTCAACATTTGACTAAGCGAGACTTACTCAACTGCACCTACACTTGTTGGGCATGGAATTCCATTGGTAATGAGCGCTTGTATTATAAAGTTTACGGCAATTCGAATGATAGGTTTCGCAAGCTTATTCGCACAATCACTGGAGCTCCATCCCAGACTGGAGTCAGCACTGCAAATGGTATGCCTCGGCAATTAGGAAAGCTGATTAGAGTGATAAAATTACAGAGAGACTACTACTTTCACGCAAATTCGCGATGGTACGCAGAACTATTATCTAAATTGGCGACAGTGACACCAAACGTTCATACTGCGGACATATATGGACCAAACATAAGTCCATCTGTCGAGACTACGACAGAATTTGATTGGGAAGCGTCTCTGTCTTCCAAATGGCCACATTTACGAAGATTGCGAATAGCGGCCGGAAAACCGACAGGAGATATAAAATTCCCTGCTAACAACATGGAGACCCTACTCAACCGTCTACATTATCTTGACATTGTCTACTGGCCTGACTTTCCTGAGTATTTACCTCCATCTCCACTCATGGTGTCAGATATAAGGATGCTTAAGGTAGCGGTACAAGATAAATCATCTTACCATCGTCTAAAGGAGTTATTGAACAGCTGCCAAGACACACTGAATACCCTCACTTTGTCATGGTCTGCGTCAAGTGGATCGTTAAGCGTAGACGATCTTATCACAGGACTTCGGCAGTTGAAGAAATTCGGGTTCAGCTACAGCATTAGCGCAGATCTCACTATCAGTACCTTTGGAGACCATGTCGAACATCTTGAGCTGATTGGATCTCACCGGCTGGTGGAAAATGAGGCTGATAGAAGAGTAACCAACGCAACTCTAAAGACAACAGGACTCAAAACGCTGCGGGTCGCACGATGTGAACATTTTGTAGACTACTTGGCAGATATCCTGGCGGCTAATGCAAGCACTCTTCAGAATCTGTATTTTACGGGTGATTCGGGCGACCTATTGATTGAAGGCTTGATGGACAACAGCGCACACTTGAACAATGTTACAACATTATCCTTTGAATGTGGCATGCTCAACGACTTGAAAGCAAACGATTTGGCGGATATTTTTCCAAATGTCCAGTTTTTAGAAATGACTGCTGGCCCATTTAGCTCTGTCGAGCGTTGGATTACTTCCAAGACTCTACGCAAGTTTCATCATTTGAAAGCGATAGGATCAATAACCTTTAGAGAGCTTCTCGAGCCAAATGGCTATACTTTAGCATTTTGCGATATGGAACGAACGCTGTTTTTGGCTGACGTTTCGGAAGGGTAAATTCACATTTTGTAGAACAGTATGTGTAGAGTTGGCGTATGCCCATATATTATTTTCCATACAATTTCGTCCGTTTTACTGCTCTATATCGTCGCATGTAAAACCATTCAGATATCTATTGCACTAATGGCTTCTACACTCCACTTCTCCCTTACTCTGCGACCAAGACCCCCTTCGGGCACAGTCTCTTCATCGGAGTTCGTCTTTCTATCCTCTACTGAATTATATTTGTATGATAGGCTGAAAATAAATGATATGCTGCAAGCAATATAAGGCTGTTCCCGTAATCATTGACATTGGTTTATGTCGCAACAACGCAATGCTTATACAACTCCCTCCCCTCTAGCGGTCCCTGACAAAAACACAAAACTTTAGACAAGAAAGCAGCAGTTTGATCGATTTTGCCCAGTGTTTGCCCTAAGAATTTCGCTGTGCTTTTCAACATGTGGATCCTTCATCACTGAATTTCAAAAACAGGGACAGTCTCATAGAATGCCAAATACCTAGTTCGATGAAGCTCTTTATTTTTTAAATACTGTTGGTAGTAGACTCTTTTAAGACTTCTACTTTGTAGCCCAAACTCATATATCAGCAGCCTTTCATATTCCACGAAAACATCATAGTCCATTTCTGATCAGTAGAAACCATACTGGATCTGATAACCTGGCTTTACTGAAACCTTTATTGTTAAAAGCATAGTAACATGATCCGAAACATTATACTATCATGATGGTCTGGTTTTGGGCCATTATACAATAATAAGTATAACTTTTCCAGCTGTAGTCGGTGGTAACTGCTTTTCTCGATTTCTCACGTTACTTCTTCTAAGATTCAGATTTTTAACAGCGGAATACCAAGCAGCATAGTGTTTTGCATGATGGAACAATAGCAAACACTTCCCATAGAAACTTTCAGCATAGTCTTTTAGCGCTCACTTTGGCAGGATTTACTCAACTGCACCTCAAATTTCGGGAGTGACGAAAGAACAGATGGAGGCATTGATCTATAAGCCTGAATTTGTAAGTTTTGGTGGCCATGCATGATTCCAGTCTTTTCTGTCAGATTAAACGTCATGCTGGAAATCCAGTTTGCCACACTCGGAACCCTTTGGCTGCCATCATATTTATTCCCATGCAGTAAAGACAGAAGTTATGTATATTTCAACCTGTTCAACTAGAACTACTCACTCCTGCTGGTGCTACTACATACTTTTCCCAGCTGTGGCCAGAAAATGTACCATCCTTATCTGGCATGCCGCTTCTCATGAGGGATACTTAGGGGATTAGGAAGCTGCAACAAGCGTTCCCCTTAAGGAGGTACGACCTATGACTCCATGCTATTGAAAATCATTAATATTTATACTTCACTTCAAACATTGTACTTGGCGTCATAGCATTCGTAGAATTTCTCATGCTGTGGCAAATTACTTTGCTGTTTTTCTTTCTTACTGCTAATCATGCTGCTTCCGCGGCAGTTATTACCAAAAGGGGCTATGGAAGCAATCTATTCACATTGCCTCTCAGGCGTGTATATATGAGCAATCATCGATTCAAAAGTACACAAAAGAGATCAGCTGAATCAGAACCGTTAATCAATAAAATCACTCAGGTAAGGGAGCAAGTTCGATCCAATAACTATCTAGTGGCGCCTCTAACTATCATGTTCTTCCCTATATAGTATGTTGCTGTCATTGGCGTCGGCAGCCCTACAACTAATTACAGCCTCCTAGTTGATACAGGCTCATCCAACACATTTGTTGGTTCTTCAAAGGCTTACGTGAAAACTCCTACCTCGGTTGATCTTAATAGCACGTTTGCTATTAAATATTCAGTTAGTAATGCAACTGGCGAGCTTTATAAGGACAGCGTTACGATTGCATCGCTGGTCATACCGGCTCAAATAATCGGCGTCGCTAATGCGACCATCAGCGAACTGAGTGGTCTCGATGGTATACTTGGCGTAGGTCCCAGCGATCTAACCCAGGGTACATCCCCGTACGCAAAAACTATTCCATCCGTTCTTGAAAATCTTTTCAGCCAAAAACTTATACCATCAAATGTGTTTGCTCTATCTTTCCGCCCCAGCACCGGAGAAGAAGAAATGAATGGCGAGATCACACTGGGAGGCATTGATAGCAGTAAATTTACCGGCGCTATTTCTTACGTACCTCTTAGCAAAACTTTACCATCAACCTTATATTGGGGGGTTGATGCTTCTGCTCACTATGGACCTGGAAAAACTCCCATCTTCAATTCTACAGCTGGTATCGTAGATTCAGGAACAACGATGATTGAGTTAGGCACCTATGCATACAAAACCTATCAAATGGTTACTGGTGCAGTTCCAGATGTTAAAACTGGTCTTCTCGCCTTAAACGCAGCTCAATTTAGTGCTCTACAATCGCTCTACTTTAATATCGGAGGGAAAGCATATGAAGTTACTGCAAATGCTCAAATCTTTCCCCGGAAATTCAACTCACTGATTGATGGAGATGTTAATAAGATTTATCTCATTGTCGGTGATCTCAAATCGGCACCTAGCTCAGGAATGGACTTTATCCTTGGACAGACATTTCTGGAACGATACTACTCTGTGTATGATACCAGTAATGCACGAATTGGTAAGTTTATGTTGTATACTAACTATCCCTATTATGACTATTCACTAACCGCAATTAATTGCACTTATCAACAAAATGGCTCAGGTCTTGCAACAACAGAATACACTCTGGCAACCTCCAATTAGCGTCATTCTCAATGTGTTTATTTTTTTCATATAAAGTTAGAGACTATGTATTCCATCGATACATTATAGGCATCTTTTGCATTCTAGAACCCCTTGGCGTTCGCCCTGTCCTCGAAATCCGTCTGCCCTCACTGAATTGGTGAATTATACTTGCACGTATATGTTGAAATAAACACAGTGCAATGCAAATGCTAGTCCCACTGTCAATCATAATAGTAGCTGCCTCAGCTAAGCACCTCCATAGTCGACGTATTCCCCGCTAGCGGCCCGTACCTATACGTAATAAAAGTTTCGACAAGCAAAGCAGCAATCTGATCAATTTGTGCCCAGCTTTCGTCCTATCAATTTTTCTGGCTTTTCATGATGCTCATCACCGAAATGCAAATAGGACCAGTCTCCTGCAATTTTCAACATCATGTGCAATTCAGATCTTCTTTTCTTTGCATGTTACTAGCGACAGGGATATTCCTACTCCTGCTATCGGCACCTAAAATCTCATTGATCAGCCCCTCTCATAGTCTATGAAAACGGTGGTATCCGTTCTAGTCTAAAGAATCGAAACCAAATCAAATGGATTTTTTTGTTGTACTCTTCATCTCTGAATTTATAGTAACATGCCCAATTTCTTGATATAAGCATGAAGCACTCTTACTGACGGTGCTGTGGGATAAATAAACCTCGCTTCCTCAACTGCGTCAAATTGCCTTTCTCTACTTTCTTATTTTGAATGGTAGAATCTACTGAACAGGAAAATATCTAGAAACAAAATCTTTTACAGAATGAATCAACTCTAAACAACTTCCAAGAATTGAGAATATTTTTTTTTCAAAGCTTACTTTGGCAGTGCATTTACTTAGTTGCAGCTCCAAAATGCCGTGAATAAAAAAAAGATCTATAAATCTATAAGCGTGTATCTGTAATTTTTTGGTGGCCATGTATGCACGGTGTCTCTATGTCCCGTTAAACATTATGCTGGACACTCGATTTGCTTGCACTTGCGGAAAGCTTTGATTGCCACCATGTCTATCCTCATTCAGTAATTACAGATGCCATGAATATTTAATGACAGATGACATGAATATTTCTAACCGTCCAACTGCCACGGCTTTCTCTGTCTGATGTAACTTATATACTCTTACTACCTGTGGTTAAAAATTCACTGCCCACATCTAGCACACCGCCTCTCGTGAGGGATGCTTAGGGGATTCGGAAGCTGCAAAGCATTCCCCTGGAGGAGGTATGATTAATCACCCCATGCTTGGAACATAATCGATATTTATACCCATTTCATCATTATACTTGCCGCCATAGCATTCTTCTAACTGACCATGCTGTGGAAAACACCTCTACTGCTTGTGCTTCTTTCTGTTAACCATATTACTGCCGCAGCAGTTACTACTCATAAGGGAAATGAAGGCAATGCAATCACACTGCCTTTCCAACGTCCCAATGTTGGTAATGCACGGTCCAGAAGTATACAAAAAAGGTCAATCGACACAGTGCAATTGATCGATGAAGTTACTCATGTATGACATTTTCTTCATTCAATAAGTATCTGATGGCGACGCTAAACACTGTATCTTTCTCTTTACAGTATGTTATGACCGTCAGTATCGGCAATCCTGCGACTGAGTACAATCTAATAGTGGACACAGGCTCAGCCAATACAGTTGTTGGGGCTTCAAAGATATACAAAGTTACTTCAACTTCATCTGACCTATCTAGTACATTTGAAGTTGCATATGAAGGCAGTCAAGTGTCAGGAAAACTTTATAAGGATAGTGTTACACTTTCACCTTCGCTGGCCATATCACAGCAAATCATAGGCGTCGCTACCCAAGCCAACGGAATTGATAGCGTTGATGGGATACTTGGCTTAGGACCTGTCGATCTTTCTCTAGGTACATCCTCTAATCAACATAATATTCCAACCGTTGTGGACAATCTCTTCGCGCAGGGAACTATGAATTCAAACGAGTTTGCTTTATCTTTCCGCCCTTGTACCGGGGCATCAGTAAAGAATGGCTATATCACATTTGGAGGCATTGATAGCGGTGAATTCACCGGTGCTATTACATACACGCCTGTTACCCAAACATCACCAGCATCCACATTTTGGGGTATTGATGCGTCTGTTGACTATGGAGCAGGAAAAACTTCTATCTTGAAGACTACCGCTGGTATCGTAGATTCATCAACAAGTTTGCTTCTATTAGCCACCGATGCATTCAAAGCCTATCAAGCGGCCACCGGTGGAGTTTTAGACAGCGTCACTGGTCTGCTCAGCGTAACTTCAGATCAATATAACGCTCTACAATCGCTTTACTTCAATATCGCAGGCGAAGTATATGAACTTGCTCCAAATGCTCAAATCTTCCCTCGAGGACTCAACTCACAAATTGGCGGGGAATCTGGTAAAATTTATCTTATTGTGAGTGACCTTCGCTCGCCATCTGGCTCAGGGCTGGACTTTATCCTTGGAAAAGCATTTTTAGAACGATTTTACGTTGCTTTTGATACTACCAATAGACGAATTGGTAAGAATATACTGCCTTCTAGCTGTCGGTATCATGGCTATCCACTAACCGCAATTTACATGCGCTTATCCACACAATGTCACAGGTTTTGCAACAACAGAACACACTCTGGCAACTACCAATTAAATCGTCATGACAATGTTTTTATTTTGAAATAAAGTTAGAACGAGCTATTTTCGCAAAAAAAGTTTGTATCCTTGAAGACCATTCATTGAGAGTATAAGGGATTGATACAGGCACCAAGTTTATTGTACATTCTTGAACTTGAATTCTTACTCCAATCACTAACTTCACGTTAATCAAGTTAAATAAGCAAAGCACCTGTGGCGCGGACTCCCTGAAGCTAAACATTAATTCCAAAAGGAGAACTCTTATGGGTAACACTATGGGCAATTCCTATGTTTGGAGGGCCATATTCTCTCTTATCACAGCCCCACAACGATTGTATAGCAACTCACTCTGGATTATGGGTTATTGGCAGGATCCCAACCTAGACGTACTACTAACGATCTTTGAAAAGTTGGAGAAGCCGGACTTGCTAAAATGTTCATACACGTGTTTGGCCTGGAATATGGCTGGAAACATTTTGCTGTATCGGAAGGTGCAACCCAGTTCTCTGAACAAATTTCAGAAACTTATTCGAACTATCTCAGAACCAGCAACTAGTCAGAGGAATACTTCAATAGTGATACAGCAATTTAGACATCTGATCAAGAATGGCACCCTGACATTTCACTACAGAATGGTGGACATTTCGGATAACCCATTCGCCGTGCTGAGTAGAAAAAACATAGAACCACAAAATATAGAGAGCGATACTGCTGCATGGAAGATGAAAAGGCCACAACAGCTTGGAAAGCTAATCAAGAACGTGACGTTAAAGTCCCTAGCCTACAATGATATAACAGGATACTTAACACAGATAATGATGTTTGCTCGTTCCTCGCCCAACATTCGAACAGCTGATATAGACTATCTCCAGATCTACTTCGCTTCGGATTTTACACCAAAATTGGATTGGGAACAACACATTGGATCGAATTGGCGGCAATTAAAAAATTTAACATTGAGATCTTACGAGTGCTATAAGTGTTCCATACCTCCATTATCCAGCATGGAGAGCCTACTGAATCACTTGTACAAGCTGGACACCTTAGAATGGACTGATTTTTTGTATCACTTGCCTCACCCAGTACCCAACATGAAAAATTTACAAGTACTGAAAGTGGACGTGTCTGACAAGTCCTCCTATCAAAACTTAAAGGAGCTTTTGCAAAGCTGCCGAAATACGTTACGCTCACTATCAATACGATGGTGTATAACTGCTACTACCGATCATGATCCGTTGGACTTAGAGGATCTGATTAGAGAACTTCCAAAACTGAAGGACTTCGCTTTATCATACGGTTATGAGCATATATTTACGATTAGCAGCTTTGGAGAACAATTAGAAACCCTGACGCTGATCTCGTCGTCGGTGGAAGGCGATAGTCAGGTGCATGAGATAGTGGGGAATGCAGTTAGCAAGACCAGTCATCTCAAACGCTTAGAAATACGCTACTGTAAGCACATTGAAAAGTACATGCACGCCATCCTAGCAAACAACAAATCAACTCTGCAAAGCATATTTATTGCTAGTAGAAATGCTACTGAGGTGGTTTCAAACCTACAAGTCAACGATACTCGTACAGCCAATATCACAACACTTGGATTTCATTTCATTCAGGACAACTTGCAGCTGCGGGAGCTGGCAAAAATATTCCCTCAAGTAGAGTGGTTAAGTTTGCCAGATTTCAGCTTCTCAGGGTCAAAACGCTGGATTGATAGTGAGAGCATATTCCAATTTCGTCATTTGAAAGGAATCGACTGGCGTACATTTGCACAACTCGTTGATCAATATAAATTGCATCCTATGAAAGTTCAAACAGAGTGGTGGCACCAATTCTAAGCACAATTCTACCTCGTTACCGTCTCCATGTACCTGAACACAATCAATTGTACTTTTTAGAACAAAAAATAAATGGGAAATTTTCTTAGCCTGAAATTATTCTTGCAAGCAGTCGTAAATCAAGCAGGGCAAAAGAATGAAGTTCCCATTACATAAAAAATTATATAGATATAGGTGTACTTGACTGGATGGGATGTAAGACACAATGAAGCGCTTCTGGACATTTAAAAACGTTTGTTTAATGATGTAGACTAATCTTATATTTAACAATAATGAACAAGGCGGAAGAGTGATACGATTCCCAGAAAATCAGCGGGAAAAGACTCCTGAACTTCGCCAGCTTTGAATGATTCAATGGGCCTAATTACAGTCAGTGCCAATTTTGGTAAGCAGCAGAGACATACGGGGAAAAGATATTCTACTTTGAGGCAATATGCCAAGCAGGCATCCACTAGACTATGACATAAAGTACAGAGCCATGATCATCGAAATCGTTCCAGTACACCAAAATGAAATGATATGGCTATTGGCTGAGTTCCCGGTAAGGCCGCCAGCCAGCACAGGGCCAACCGTCGGTGATGGAAGTGGAATGGTGCTTGTGATGACCACGATGGGGGTGGATGGAGGTGGAGCTGTGGTGGTTATAGGCGTGGCGAGGGATAGTGAGGAGATAGTGGAAGTTAGATCGCTAGAGCTTGGCAACGATTGACTGGGCAAAAAGCTGCTGTTGCTGCTTGAAGCCGTGATTGTGGCGGTGGGCGGCGGCGGCATGCTCGTGGTGGCGGTCAGCAAGGTGCTTTTAGGGCTCGCCAAGTGATGGGTAGAGGATTTGCGAGTTGTCGGCTTCTTTTTTATCTTGGTTTTCTTAGTGGACTTTGGAGTAGCAACTGCAGCGACTTTATGGGCCTTTGATTGGGTGCTTTTGTGATGATGATGTGTGGTGGTGGTGGACAGGACTTTACCACCGTCGTCCAAAAGGCTGGCTTGAACGATGGCGGATGAAACCAGCACCCAAACCAACGCACAGACCAAGGCCAAAGATTTCATAAAGAAGAAGATAAAAAGGTGCTTGCTAACGCGCCACGGTATTTAATTGGAAACCAGGTTTTGTACTATGAATAAAAAGGGAGCTATCGCAAGACGAGCTACAAATGTCACACACACACACGGCTATGCTGTTATAAGCCACGACCTAATTTGTCTAAGCTGCAAATCCATACTTCTTGGCCGCAAAGCTATCAACCAATCCCGGTGCGAGCAATTTACCCCAGTTGGCCCCTATGCCCATGAGCCGAGGCAACAGCACTTCGCGTTGACGTTGATCGGATGCATGGACGATAGCTTGGGCCACCGCTTTTGGCTCTAGTTTTCCTTTTGTGGATCCGTGTACTGCGCTATTTAAATCCAGGTCTACTGCCGATTGTCTCAGGTCGGTGTTGACGGTACCAGGGCAGACAAGGCCAACATGAACATTATGCATCGCTACTTCCACACGCAAGGAATCGAAGAATCCATGAACAGCGTGCTTAGATCCCGCGTATAGACTGCGTGTTGGCGCTCCTGCTTTGCCGGCCAAGGACGATATGACAATAATATTGGGTGAAGCCGATGTTCGAATAAGGAGGGGCAAGAAATATTGAGTGAGTTGGATAGGGGCATAGTAGTTGACAGCTGTGATCCGTCGTACGGCTTCCATGGGGTCTTGTTGAGGATGGCCATCGAGCCCTCCGCATAGGTTTAGGAACGGTTGCACGGAGATGGCTCCAGCGCAGATAATTAAGGTGTCTACGCCAGATAGGGTATCTTGGGTCGTTTTGGCAAGTTTCTTGACGTCTGCTTCCACGGTCGCATCCCCACACACTGTATACGCCTGTCCTCCAAGTGCGCTTACTTCTTCTTGCAATGAATCCAAAAGCTCTTGTCTGCGAGCAAACAAGATTAACTTCGCATGTCGACGGGCATAGAGTAATGCGGTTTCTCGGCCAATGCCTGAGGTGCATCCCACAACCACTACTCGTTCTTCATTAGGTTTGACAGCTTGTAGTCTGCGTGCACTAGGTGCTTGTAGGTAGTAAGCAGCCGCCGATACTAGCGCAGCGGTTGCTAGATATCCGAGCATATATCCGTTCGGGGGGTTACGCTGAGGTGAGGAGGAGTTTGGAAGGGCAGACCCAAAAAAAATCACCTGCATGCATACGACACTGTCATCCCGATAATATCCATCTACCGAATAGGATGCCAACAGACTTAGTCCGTCAAGGGATTCACAGCTGGCTGCAATACCAATCTTTTTTTAATTCATGACATTTTTTTAACAGTGGGTTGCTGGGAATAAGGGATGATTGTTGTACACTGGAAGGAGAGATTATGGTGGGCAATGCTATTTTCTAGAAAGGAGATTGTGCTTTTTTTGTTTTATGAAAAAGTCTTCCGGTCTTGTTGATGAACGACTATTACTGGTTGCGCAGCTCATCGAGACGTTCTTTCAGCTTGTCATAGGTTTCGGTGTCTTCCCACGAACTCTTGGCTTTACCGATCAAACCTTTGAGAACAGTTCGAGCCTGGTATTTCCAGTCGACCTTGGCTTGCTCGCCAAAATTCTCATACATATCAACGGTATCCATAGCAATTTCAGCAACACGCTCGAACACTGCCTTGTCCGTCTCGAGTTGGGGGTCATGCATGGTAGATCGATAAGCCTTTACACTGGCATCCAGAGCCTTTTCGTACTCTCCTTGCCAGATATAGAACTTGCTGCAAATGCGCCAAAGGTCGGGAGAGTTGGTAATGCGAGAGAGGATGACGTTCTCTAGTAGATTTTGGACATGGCGAGCCAGTCGACCAGCATCTTTATCATGAACGTCACGAACATTCTTGGTCACGCCATCAATGATAAGTGACAAGACCTCGGTATCAACAGCTTCGTCGCGAACCTTCTCCCATCTGATATCTACAATACGTTGCATGGCCAAGATGGATTCAGCATATTCGCCAATATCAATACAAACCCACAGAAGGTTTTGCCACATCTTCCAGTTTTCAAACTTGAGCTTGGTGGCTTGCTTGAGGGCATAGAAAGCATCGCCCTTCTTGTCTTGTCTAATATAGATACTGGCAAGGTTGTTCCAGGCTTCAGCATTTTCGTCGTCGAGAGCAACTGAACGTGAAAACGCCTTGATACCAACATCCCATTCTGAGATCTGAATAGCAGCACAACCCATGACGAACCATGAGTTTTCGAAGAGAGGATTGAGCTTCATAGCGTTTTCGTAACAAGCAATGGAGTCTGAGTATTCCTCGCGGCGATAGTGGTAAGCACCAAGACTTCGCATGGCTCTTGCAAATGGACGACCGCTGATTTCCCAAGCCTTATGCCAATGTTCAGGGTTTTGCTCAATATCACCAAGAATACACCAAAGCTTTGGTGACTTTGGCTGTTCTTCCAAAAGAGTCAAGAGGATTTTCTTAGCCTTGTCAGGTTGCTCCAGCATTTGATAGGTTGAAATAACATCCTCCCACATTTGCAGACGTTCAAAGATTTCCAGAGCGGATCGCATCACACCCAAGCTGATAAATCTTTTGGCCAATTCACGCTCCATCTCCCACTTGCTAGGGATCAAAATTTGATAGAAATAGGCCAAACGCTCTTGCACGGTGGAATCCTCAACCTTAATTTGGTCAACGAGAGCTTGCAACTGAAGCACGGAACGTTCCACAGTACGCGACTTGTTACTTTCCAAACGTGAGCGTAAAAGAAGCGCCATGGTATACACCATCCAGTTGTTGGGGTTGTCCAATACACGAGACACAAAGGGTACCATTTGTTCAGAGGTCATGCCATGATCAGGGTTGGTATTCTTGACATTCAAGCAATAAGCCAACAGCAAACATTGATCAATGACTTGCAAATTACCTTGCTGGCTAGCCTTTTCATCGGCGTTGATGGCGATCTTTTCCAACAAGGTGTCGTCATTCAGGGCCAATGTTTCAGGCTGAATCTTATCTTCAGACGCCTGTTCATTGCTGCTCTTACTTTCAGCTACAATGACCAATTGAGACACGTCGAATTGTTGATGCTTAGTACGTCGTCCCATCGCACCTGTGACATTCCAGTTGAATCCAGAAGACTGTTGAGAGACCTGAAATTCTTCCAGAGCTTCCTTATCCATACCATACCAATGATGAACCAGACCAAGCTCCAAATGGCACCGAGTGAGAAGGTCGGTGTTGTCCTGGGGAATGGCTGGAAGTACGCGCTTGTAGAGGTTTTCCATGATGTCAAGCAAGGAGCTGGCACCTTCATCCAACAACTTTTGCTGGGTGAACAAAGCACGTGCATACCACCATGCAGCGGATGCCACGGAAGATTCCTTTTCAGACAAAGCACGGAAGATGGCCAGAGCGATGGCAAGAAATCCAAGACGAGGCGCAAGATGGTAAACCTCTTCCGAGTCGGCCGACAGGTAGGTCAAACAGAACTTTTGGATGAGTTCAGGGTCGACGTCTGCCACCAAATGATGTGGCTCCAAATCAACCAAAGGTCCAGTCCAGTTGACTTGAATGAAAATATTGAGAGCAGCGATACCAGTGGCCAACAGTTCCACATCGGTAGCATCCACGGTGCGGATCTGGTTGCTGACAAACTCAACAATGTCGCCTGTCTGAGCCAGATTGGCGTCCATGCTAGTAATGTTGGCGAAAATGGGCGATTCTTTCAGAATCTGGACATATTGACCATCCTGGATTTTGACGACCAAAGGCTCATCGCTCTTGCCGGCGATGAACGACCAGTGATCAGCCATATGAAGGGTTTCGAAGAGAGAAAGTAGTAACGTCGGACTTGCCGTGAAAGCTACAGGTAAAAAAATTTGGACAGTCACAAAAAACGTCTCGGTGACAAATCAAGGTAAAGAATTTTCGAGGTTGTTCGGTTTGGGCATGACGTTTATTTACAATGCGGTTTTGAGATGATTCAGTTCAGCAGAAGAAAGGTTTTTTCTTTTTAAAAATAAAAAATAGGTTAAGAAAAGAAGAGGAAAAAACACTAAGATCCCATCCACAAAAGCTGGTTGGTGGTGTCGATGGATATCACTATTGTTGCATGGCTGGTGAACCTGCTGTGGATAGAGAGCCCAACAGAGACATCATCGTATCTGCGGACATGCCGTATAAGTATATTTTAACTGCGAGCTGAACATGAATGTTTGGAAACTTACCCATAGTGCCGTCTTGAGGCGGCGACGGTGCAGTTTGATAGGGATTGGCTGACCCGTGGGATGATTGCTTTTCCGAGAGGGTGGGTTGGATGTCTTGCAGACCTTGTAATCTGCGCCATTTGTTGGTTCGTGACACATCATAGTCGATGGTTAAGAACCAATATCGCTTAAAAAATTCAACCGGCAGCTCCCAGCATTCAGCTTTCGTTGGGTCTCCGCCATGGCAGACCGCGCCTCTAAGCAACAGCGCAAAACATTCATCCAAGTCAAATTGGTCTCTAAAGATGATCATTCGGTCTCGCATATGGGAAGTCGGTATTAAATCAATTCTAGGGTCGTGTGGGATGGATAGCTGAAAGCGAAAAAGATAGAAATAAGTAAGCAACTAGTGAGCGTTATGTTGCTGATATAATATGGAACAACCCTCACTTGTAATATTGTTGGTTGGATGTTTAACTCCGTTTTGCCCGCATGGTCGGAAAATGCCTTTTGGACTCGAAGTTGCAGTCGAATCCTTTGGATGGCAGCCACTGCAGACATGGACGGTTCAATATTGGCAGCATTGACGGCAGGCCGAGGGGTGCTAATCCCCTTTCCAGTTAACTGTATATCCTCTTCCAACAAATGTTGCTCTTCCTTCACCATCTCATCGTCTACCGGCTCTTGATTGATCAACATGTCGGTATCATCAGATGGCTCAGGTTTAATATCATCAAAGATGGGTTGGTCATGAACCGAACGACTGAGTTCCGGGCTGAACTCTCGGATGAGTTCGGGGCTGTCGAAGGAAGAGACATTGTCGTTGGATGTGGAGAAAGAACTTGGGCTGAGCGACGTTTCTGGTACTGGGACTTTGAAGACGTTGTCTGGTCCTCCAAGATTAGGCTTGTAGGCCATGTTGTTTTTTGTATAAGCCGTGACGTACGCATCAATAGCATGTGGGATGGTTTGAGCCATTTTTCGTAGCGTGTCTTCACCTAGATAAGGTGAATGCTGTGGAATGCTCATGTGCTTTTGCAAACATACAAACTGCAAGGTAAGCATAACACCCTTAAGATACCAGTTCTCTGCACGAAATGCCTCTAAATGTTCTCGGGTTGTATTAAGTTCTTTGGCAAGTTGAGATCTCTGCTGCCGAAGACCATGTATAGTGGTTTCCAAGTCCTTCAAATGGCGCTCTTTTCGTTCGCGGAACGCTCTTTGTGCTGCTCTATTCTGAGCTCTGTGCGTGCAAAATAATCGAGGGTGGGTTAATATTATGAATTTTGGCTTGGTACCCCAGGTTTCCCCAGTCATTGTGGCCATTGGTGTACCCCGTCGGTCACTGAGTTTCCCCCCAACCTTAATGAAAAAAAAAAATTGTTATTGAACTTACTTTCGAATAGCAGGCGACTGTGGATTTGGTTTTCTTCCAGGGCGCTTTCTTATTTTAATAGGGTTGCCATGTTCGTCTACCTGGTTTTGTGACATGGGGGAAGCATAAGGCTGTTGCATGGAATGCTGCTGGTCGTGTGGGTCATTAGATTGTGGCGAAAATGGTGCAGACAGAAAGTCATCCAAGTAATTGACATCGGCAGGGATGTAAATTTGCTGAGGAGGCAGAGCCCAATCCTGCTGTTGAGAATTTTGCATCTGCTGGAACAACAGCTCATTGGTCAAGTCAAATATATTATTGTCGGCCATGACTGAAGAAGAGAGTGAAAGAAAAAGCGGGCACAAGCAGCAAAGCGAAAGAAAATACTACGATCGAAATTCAGCCTTTCGGGGTGTCGAAAAAAAATGTTGACTTTCAATGAGCAATCCCCTAACCCATCTAGGCACACCTTTGAACTTCTTGAATGTTCTCATAGAAAGTCATCGACTGCCCGCCTTTCCGGGTAGGTCTGGGGGGTCATCTGCGCTTCCCACACTTTTTTTTTCACTCGGGATGGATTGGGGGGAGGAGTTTTGGGGATCCCAGTTAAATTCCCCTGGTCTTTCCCTCCCCCCGCAAAGACGTCGCACACACAGACAATCGGGTTTAGGAGGTCGCTGCTTCTGCGGGGGAACAATATCATTAGACACGCTCTCGTACTAAAATAGAACCGCCGCTGTGGAAATTTTCTTTCCCCTATCCCCTCTCTCTTTCTCTTCCAGATTGCACATGTCATGCTCTCAGGTAGATCACGACTTCATGTCCACCGAGATTAGCTTTGAACACTTTGACCCCACGCTGGAGCTAGGCACTTTGGATGAAAATGGCAAGCCTATTCGTCCAAAGAAGAAACCTGGAAGGAAACCCAATCCTCCTAGTCCTGCACAACGAAAGTAAGTCCTTTGCTCTTATTTGAATTCGTTTATTGGCGTTTCACTTGCTGACTACGTTTGATTCTCAGAGCTCAAAACAGAGCAGCACAGCGCGCGTTTCGCGAAAGAAAGCAACGAGAAATGAGAGAAGCCGAGCATACCATTCGACGAACCGTGTTTGCTCGAGAAAAGGCTCTCAAAGACTTGGCGGAAGCCCAAAAGCGAATCAAACAACTAGAATATGAAAGTCAGCATCTGAAGGGCATGCTATTAACCTATAAGGTTGCTTGCTTTTCTCATGGCGTGGATGTGCCCAAGTTCTGGGCTGAAGCTGGTAATACCACCGATGCCTACGGTGCTGAAGTCCTCAGTTACTCAAAGTGCAAGACGGTTCCACATGCTTTAGAACTGTATCTTGATAAAGATCTTCATATTATCACCGACACCGACGAAGACGATCAAACTCAAGTCTATAAGCCTATTCCTGGAGCTTTCCCTATGCCCGAATTGGATCCAGAAAACATGCAACTGACATTGACCAATTTCCCTATACCGTTACCGTTGACGGCTCATCATTTAGAAGCCCTTCTTAGCTGCAACATTTTCCCGAATATCGTCCAGCAATTAAATGCCGGAGATCTCAAATTTTTCACCAATCCCAATATTCAGACCACTACCCCAATCGGAGCAGCACGTGAATCCTCGGTAGCCAAAGAGGAACCACTGGATGATGAAGCAGAGTTGCGGCGATTGAAGCAAGAAAATGACGAAGGTTACAAAGTTTTGCCTCCTATGACACCGGTGGATGCCCTAAAATATATGCGCCAAGAACCCGATGCCCAACATAGTGAATTTACTGCATTATTCGAGCCTAGTAAGTATCATCATGCTCCCCCCCCCTGCCTTCACATTGGTATTCACCTTTGCCTTTGTAGCTGAACTGCAGATGACGGTTCCCCACGATTCTCGCATCGACATTGTACCTGGAGCCGGCATGCGAGATCGAATGATCATCTTCAGAGATCTCTACGATGCCAACGAACTTTTCACCGTTCTGCTCGAATCTTCGTTCTTTTTGGGTGGTCAGATTGGAGACCCTGACTGTTGGTATGTGCCGCCATCCTTCCTCAAAAAGTTTTGGTACCTCTGCCCCAATCATTTACCCATGCGACGAGCCGACAACTCCATGGAAATTATGATCAACCTTGGGCATAGGATGACGGAGAAGTTATGGGAACGCAAAGGAATGCATACTGAACGAGAAAAATACGTGGATCATTTCCCTGCGATTACCAAAGGCTTCCAGGGATTGACCATTGCTGCTCCCTCTTCTATTTCTGAAATGACTTCGGCCGGTACCGAAAGCGATTCATTTATCAAAGAAAGCAGCGAAGAGTTGCCTATGGGTAAGTTTACACTCTTCTCAGTCGCTTCCTGTACAAAGTTGGTTTAATCGCTAATGTATGTGCCTTGCAGATGTGGTAATGGATATCATGGAGTCCATGCCTCCCTTGACTTCACCCCTAGTGCAATTCGTGTAAAGGAAAAAAAAATTCTTATCCTTCGGTTACCCTGCTGCTTTTCGTTCTGCCATATAAACCTCATACTCCTTTGTCTATAGCTTGCTCACTCCCGCTCATCTTGACCTTTCTTCCAGACGTTCTGCTCTTTCATGTAATTATTTATGACCCAATTTATTTAAAAAAAAAATACCAATTACTTGCGTACACGGATGATGTCAATCCCAGTGTGTGGATAAAATGAGAAGGATTTTTTCATTGTTTCCTAAGGGTCTGGTTTGAGCACGGAACCTCCCCCAACTTTGACGTTGAACACAACGTCGTCGTTACTTTCACATGTCAGTCCCAACCTTTGGGTTTTTTCTGTAACCGATTGTGTGATGACAGAGTGACACGGGTGCAACTACTGTCTAAACATCACTCGTGTTATAGCCTCACCTTCGGAATATCCAAACGACAGGAAAAGTGGTTATGGGCCTGTATGACGCCAAAGTCTGTGCGTGGGGGGATTTTGCATAGCGCCAGCCAACTCCGAGGTGGGAAAAAGAGTGTGGCCTATTTTGGGCGATGAAGAAGTGCATTTCAGCCAACGCAGTGGTTGATTTGATTTACCTTGTAAAGTGGCGGAAGCGAAACAGAGATCGACTATTTGCGCCAAACCCCTTTGGAACTGCACTGCTCTGCACTAATCGCATGTAAACGGGATGCTCAAATTGGTAGAACCAGATCAGCGCAAAATTCGCAATGACTTCGTCGTTGCAAGCCCTCTTTCCGCATTTCTGCTGAACGTATTGCCATTCTTAATTTGTGCCTTGCGTGACCAGTACGACGGGATAGTGTGTGTCCTAAAAAATGAAACGTCCTATTGCGTGTTTCTTCTTTTTCTTGCTGCTTTTCCATAAACAATAGATGTCTCCGTCCTGAGTATACATCCCCTAATGCCATGGCGACCTATACGAGCTCCTTTATTAGCGTACATAATCATTTGGTTGTGCAAAACAATGATACACGCGCATAAAACAGCTGCGCAGTAATATTCTACGGAGTGGGGTGGAAGTCCCCCACGGTAAAGTGGCGGTCGTCATGTGGGGACCAATGAGGTTTGACACGATTGGGGTCTATATGATTTTTCACGGCCATGACAGACGTGTAGCAACTTTCTACAAAGCGGCTATGGCAGCATAATTCTTTGTCGTTTTCAGAGGTGAATACATTGCTAATGGGTGTCATAACTCGAGTTATTTTTTGTTTCGGTCAAAGGTTTTTAAATGGCCATTACCTTTGTCTGGTGAAACAGTAGGGTACCACAAGGAAACCCAAACACGACTAGGAGTAGTGACATGTGCTACTAACACCATTTGTTTGGGGGACCTATCCAGACGAGCCTATGGACTATCGGCGATCATTTTCAAGTACATTCTTTATCCGTGCTCAAATCAGGGACGGTATCCTAAACAAGGCATTTCCGAGAGCTGTAAAGTGCTCCGCCCTGAACATACACGAGCGTATCCAAGCGCAAGGCGTGAATGTAAGGAGGATATTATTAGTTATAATAACAAAGTACAAAGGTTGTGCTAAGCTTGGTAAAGACGATAAACTGACAATCCGGAGTAAGTAAGAGCAAAAGAATGAACCTTGTCAAAACAATCATAATTTTCATCGCCCGCTTACCCAGTCAATTCCACCATTTGCTTATTGTTCACAAGGCTATGAGACTTCTCCATTTGGAATTGCGTATTGATCTGCATGTTCTTCGATTCAAGACTTCTTCTCATTGCTCCCAGAATCTCATTTATGCAAGGAAACATTGGTGCTAGCGAGGATATGGTAAGGCTGTGACGAATGCTGGGATTATGTCAGATACTGCTTCCACGTTTCCCGATGAATGACAAAACGAGCAAATGCACATTGATTACATTGTCTCTTTGGTATTTCCGTTTTACATGCGCTTTAACACACAAAACATGAGGCGCAACGTCTGAGATCATGACAGGGGTGCACGTTGCTGCACTACAAGCAGCGACAGGTTGGCCCATGCCAAAGTACTGGCATGGGCCACAAGTATATGCAGAACAGCTACTTCCGGCGTGGTGTATAGGGTCCCAGAACGCAATTGGATGTATCCTGTATGCGATCGTCAACCACCTATGAGCAACAGGCTTCGCTTCACACCCCTTGTAAAACCAAAATGCTGGCTTCTCAAGGGTAGATCGCCGGGATTCCAGTGATGTATGGTGCTCTCGAAATATGTTTGATTGAAAGGAGATATCAATCCCTTTGCGGGTTTCTTAGGTGATTTTGGGCGGCTGATAAAATGAGACAGGGGTGACTGGAAATCAATTAGGAGCAGCAGCGAATCCTTAGCATGTTCAGAAGGTGAAAAAAAAAAAAACATGCACAGGACATGTAAAGTACCTTCCCTTTCAATCATCGCTTCCATCAACGTCAAAAATTGAAAGAAATGTGTTGCCCATACTGAACTTTTCTCTCGCCAGGAAACAGTGAAGACGTAGTGAAACGAAGTAAAATTTATTTGCTTACATATGCTTGCCATGTATTGTATTGACTTTTTGTTGTTGTTATTGTTTATCCTTCTCACTCACACAATGGATTGAAAATAAATTCATGTAGAGACAAGCGGAATTTTTTTTTAAAAAAAAAGCCAGGTGTTAAATGTATTGGGGATGAAGGGTGCTCGAGCACAGATTATGGTGGAGGTAGGGTCTTAGAAGTAGACAGCAGCGGCGGCAACAAGAGCGATAGCAGCCACAGCAGCCTTTTGGATCTGAAGATCATCAGCGCCAGAATGGGTAGCGGAAGCAGATGGTGGGACAGTAGCACTGGATGCAGCACTTTGCAAAGACTTACTAGCCGATGCCAATCCCGAAGTCATCATGCTCTTCAAGCTGGAAGAAGCTGACAAGAATTGGCTGGAAGCAGTGGCCAAAGCGGATGCGGCGCTAGGACCGGCAGAGCTAGCAGTGGCCAAAAGAGATTCAGTAACGGCGGATTCGGTTGCAGTGGCAGTAGCCATGCTAGAAGATGCATCGGTGCTAGTAGAAGCGTCGGTGCTAGTTGAAGCATCGGTACTAGCAGAAGCAGAACTGGTCTGACCTGGCCAATTGTTTTGAATACAGTTTCTAAATACCAAAATTCACGTTAGTTGATCTCAGCTCAAAAATCAATCATGTATGCATTGCCCTTTGAAACTTACTGATAGCAGGAGTTATCTGAGCAGTCAGTGATACAGCTACTGGTATTCTTGACTGTTGAAAAAAAGGGGAAAACGTGTCAATAGGGTAGAAATGAAAAAGGTTATAGGGGTACATTCACTGTCAGGTACATACCACAGTCGGCAAGGCAGGAGTAGTCGGAAGGATCACAGGTACATGAGTTTTGTGCTTGAGCAGCAGCAATAAGGGCAACGAGAGCAACTGAGGTAGCAGCAGTGAACTTCATACTGAATGGAACGAGAAGAAGAGAAGGTGTAGAAGCAAAGATAATCGGAACGTTCTATTTATTTGATGCGAAAAAAAAAAAAACCGCAGAAGATGATGTAAACGTCGCTATGGCGGACTTTTTGAGCAGAGAAAGAGTGGATTCGCTTGAGCTGTTTCACTTTGACCCTTCCGCGCGCAAGTTCATGACGTCGGAGGACTGCCTCGAATCATGCCTCCATTCCTGGTATAGATTTTTGTCAACAGAAACATATGAACCAATGTTGTGTCCATCCATAAACTGCTTTGGGCGTCGCTGCTATTGATTGACAAACAGAAACAGTCCCAAAATTCCGTCCGGTAGAAGGATCAAGTTATCACTCCTGACGATCATTGTCTCCTTGGGAATATGATCTAGTTTGATTTGATTTGATACAGGAGAACAAATCGTACGTTTTCAATTTCCAAGACCAACGAGTACTGAAGGTTAGCATGACCGTCGTCTAAAAATATCTACCCACCTTTCAAGTCGGTCAGGGCACACTTGCTTTTGTCGACTGTTCTATGACCGGTAAATGAGGTTGTGCAACATGTACGCCAATGATACGGTATCGGTTTCGCACCGTGTGGTCTCACCATAAATATTCGCTGAACGACAAACCACACAAAGCAGTATGGCTCGACACACTTTATATACATATAATTACTCCGAACATTTCAATAGGAGGTGAAGGTACTGGGAAAAAAATGTCTTGACCGCCCTTTGAACTTTCTGAGAGACGGTGTTGCCTGGTTTTTTTGCGCACTCATATGATAACAGTGCCTTGTCCTGTGAATCAAAAATCAATGCTGGGATCCTGAAACAACACCACTATCTTTAAAATCAAATTACAAGTGTGCCTCCTGAAATGTCTTAAGACAATATTGTTAAGCTGCTCATAACTGGCTAACCCCGGAAGTACTGAAATGTAATATTCACCAGGTAATATTTGTTAGGAATTATTCCCACCTACATAATGAGGCTCGAACTCGGCGATAGCTGGGCACTACGTTAGTGTAACGGCTCAACAACAATAGCATTGCCCGTTGCGGACCTATCTGACTTCCGTAAAGATGGACATGGATCGCTCGTTGCATGAAATGAAGTCAAGCCAAGGTCTTAAGCTGTCTGCCTGGCTCACTGGAACATGCCCTGGCGTTCGCATTCATCTTTTCAGCAGCCGACTTGATCTCCGAAATAGACCCTCAAGATTCTCTCGCGCTATGGAAAACTGAATACATTTAAACCAACCATAGAGAAAAAACATTTAAAAATTCAGTACCATGAAGAGAAATGCTCCTATCTAATTGCTTGTACTTTTTAAACGATTTTTTTCGCCACCGCCACTTGTTGTTGGGCGCGCGCACAAAGCTGTTCACCATACAAAAAGATCTACGCCCTGCTTCATGCAAATTCACAGACTGGATGTGCTGTATATGATTTATTTATGTACTGTTTGTTAGTATAAACATCATAAGTTTATCTATTTTGTCTGTAACGCCCTTCATTCCACACTTTTTGTCGTTGTGTTTGCTGATTCATTCGCCCCCGGCACGTGACTCATCTCCACAACATTTTTTTTCCTTGCAAGCCAGAGGGCTGCTTACGGTGAGAATGCTTCTCAATCCAGAAGCATCTTCACGAAGCTATAAACATACCTGGTGAGACACCATGAAAGAGGTAGGGAGAGTTAGAAGGAATGCAGACACTCGGAATGGCGTGTAAATAACCTTTCGTTCGTTATGTTCTGTCTTTAACAGCAGGGATATCCTGACGGTAAGGAGCAGCAAAAAATTGGACAGCGCTTGCTACCGTGGCTAAACTACGGCTCATCCTATGATTATAATACCTCCAGAAATAGACGATGAAGGCTTTACGTATCGGAAAAGCAAAAAATTCATGGTGGTCCCCGAACCAATGCCAACACCAGTCCGAAAATCCGTTTTTACCTCTATCACACCCACTGCCTTGAAAGACATTGAGCAGGCTGTTGCCAGAGGTCCACCAGGGAGGGAAATAGATCACAGTATTTCTATTAGCACTTTGAGCAAGGTAAGTTGTGTAGCCAACGTGCGTCGTAATCATCTCTACATGCGATTTTAACAACATACTTATGGGCAGAGTACCAAACTCACCACCCCAAAGCGACCAGTCGATATGGACGCGGCTATGCCTCCCGCCAAAAAGCAAGCAGCACATACAGCTCAGGATTATGTCGTCCCACTAAATGACCGTGTTTCGACCATACATAGGCGCAGTGGTCGGAAATCTAGCTGGATGCCCTCTAACATGAGAACATCGTCATTCGCCAGCAATTCATTTCTAGGTAATTGTTACGCATATTAATAGTCCAGCCAGGAAAACATCGACTCACATAACTGGTATTGTTATCTAGATCAACCGCCACCCAATGTCAAGCCGAGTGACTATTACCTGTATACACCGTCGAGAGTTCCTGATCCCCTTCGCATGCGCCAAGTGTTGGCATGGTGTGCTCGGAATGTGACAGACAAACAATGGAAGCTGGGAAGAGAAGGCGTTATAGACAGCAAGGCAGCTACGGCGGCATCACATATTCAAGATACCCTCATCAAAAGTTTATTGAACGGTCAGATCAACACGTCATGGTATCATCGACCGGTGAGCAATTATTGGCAATGGACTGCATAGCAATGAAGTGGGCTAAAATCGTTCTAATTTTCTACGGTTTTGCAGCTTGCGCGGCGAGAGAATGAAACCGACCGATCGGCATCGCCCAATCCAGTCAATGTAAAAAATGCGAAAATTTTGCAAAAGTGGTCATCCATTATAGAGAATTTTGACGCAGAAGATAGGGTGTGGAATCAGACAGCCGCCAAGTACAGTGCCATGCATGCGAAGGCTCTGGATACGTACACGAACATTGAGGACGACAGCCAAATCTCCGCCAAATGGCATACATCATGGTTAGAGGCGCTCTCGCCTATAGAACAGCAGTTTCTCAATCATCACTGCTTTAATGATGAGGGTGTTCAGGTACTGGATTTGATAGATCGTGCTGTTGAAGACCTACAGGCAAAGGTACGTTAGCGTTGTGTTGAACGTCGCGATGGACTTGAACTTACACGGTGCTACAGGTCGACTTGATTGAACACGCAACTAGTAATGCAATGGCGCACATGAAGAACACTGACCACACCGCCCATGATATCTTGAAAACGCTCTCATTTGCCCTCAATCGAAAATTAAACGCCCCTCACAACCGAGACCACGCGCCGGATGGCAAGCCTCTATCCCCAGATCCAAGCCTATTGTTGCGAATGATCAGTAGCAAAAAGTAGATGCTGGTGTTGTACCGACTAACGCAGCATAACAATTTTGTGAAATACCCCCAGTATTTTTACAGCTGTAAATAATAACCTTTGAAATATTGCACAACGTGAACTCAGTCACCGTTTTGATTCTGAGCACAAGCCAATTGGCGGGTCACACCATGTTGCAAGTGTTGGTAACACCAGGGGCAAATTGAGAAGATCTGGAATCATGGAGTATCAGATCAGCCGAGCAAACCTCCACACTGCGTGGTAGAAACGTGTGCCCAGTTGTTGTTGTTTATAATTCCGGTGGACTCCCACTCTTCTACCTCTTTTGCTTTGTTGCCTGGAATGACCTGTACTCGAATGTTGCACTGGGACATAATGTCGACAGTGTCGCTGTATTTGGATGATATGGATCTGATATCACTGTGTGTTTCCTATCCGCCGCTTCAGCCCTACTTTTTCTCTCAGTTGAAGAACCTCGCTATTCTCACTCACCCGTTCTGTCTCATCGAATATGACATAGATCGATGTCGACGCTTAACTCACCTCTTGGCTTTATCGTCGGAAGAAAACTTCACGGCATTTCACAGGATACCGAAAACTCTGCGGATTCGTCAGCTCCACTTGGGATGGTCAGGACTCCCCGAATATTCCTTCAACATAGAGGAAGGAGGAAACATAGGATGGATTGAAATGTTTTCAACTATCGCGGCGACTTGTCCTAATATAAATCAGTTCGTTTATGAGGCGGGTTCCCCAACAGGAGCTCATCGACCGCCGTCGTCAGATCAAACACAAGGATGTCAGTGTGATGACTGCGCCATGGCGCTTATTATGAAATCCTTACCTCCTATGCCAAATCTTAAAAAACTCTGTTTGTACACCGATACTCAACCCGACATACAATTCTCCATCGCCAACATCATATCGCGGGCTCGAATTGAGGAGTTTAAATACATTAGCAGCGGCCATCCGTATGTTCACCGAGAGCTTATTTCTAAAATACAAAGTACACAGTCATTACAGTCTTTAGTATTACTCAGTCGCTCGCCTGCTGCGACCTTGACGTTGCTTACCGTGAAGCTATGCACGGCGTTTTCCACCATCCATCACTTGCAACTGGACGATCATTCTTGGCAAAGCCCTGATCGTGCCCATGCTCTGGAACTGATCGCAACGTTGAACTTGACCAACCTTAAGTCTTTTAGATACGAAGCTACATTGTACCGAGGTGTAACCACTAATGTGAACCGAACAACAAATCTTCCTGGCTGGCCCGGTGTCGGGCTGAGAGATGTGTCACGCATCTTACCGGGAGAGACGCCGCCGCCCAGGGATGCATACGACCTTCGCAGGTACCCCGAATACATTGGGTACCTAGAAAGCAACAAAGGTATCGTGTTGACCAAGTTTTTCATGAGCTTTTCCAGTCTGACTCGTGTCGAGTTAAAGAACTGCTCGTTTTTGAACGATACTTTTTTCTCAAGTATCTGGCAATGTTTGCCCTTTTTGTCGGAGCTGCTGATACAGGATTGTCCCGATATTACGGGCACATCAATTGAATCGTCCTGCGGGAAAGGATGGTCACAGCTGACGAAGCTGGACATTTCGACGTGCAAAAACTTGACTGATCAATGTATATATGCCATTGCTGAAACAACCAAAGCGAGCCGCGTTCAACTTTTGGTATATGAACGACCAACGGCTTTCTTAAATCCAGTTGTGAACGGTATAATCGAACTGGGATATAGAATCGGCCGTACACATAAGCCGAGTAGTACAATTTTACTCCGAGGATTTGGGAATGACGAGGCAGGTACTGAGTAATAGGATAAGACGTCGACCCATATTGGCAAATAGAACAGATCTGAAACGAAGCCATCCGTGGGAGGACACAGCTGTGTACCATTGAATATCTGCAATGTATACATAATCTATTCTATATGTATTTTTTCTAATGCTAATAAGTAATCGCAAAAATCGTCTGAGCTTTGCCTGCCAAAAGAATTTGTGGCTGTTGACAAGTCACGTGCCATGAAGTTTGCTTGTCGAAATTGACTTGGATAAAAAAAAAGTTGCTCCATACTTGTGTTGTTGGTATAATTCGACAGACATGCAACGAGCATTCTCCATACTACCACGTCTTCAACCAATATTAACGCCTGCTCGCTCGGCGTCTTGGACGTCAATGCGATGGGCATCGTCGACTGCTGCACCCAACACCTTGGCTTCAGTCAACACTTTGCCTCTGTCGTTCGCTACCCCAGGTAAGTGCTGATGGGCCAGGACAGCCGTGTTCTGTATTCCAGAGGGGTTAAAACCCCATTTTCATCATTAGTATAACATTGTTTTCTAACATGTCGCTGGTTGGTAGCGGTACAACCTATCAAAACATCTTCCCTAACACAGTACATGGCGACCCTGAAACCATTCCAGGCTCCTGCTGCACCACAACCTACTATGCATGCCACCAGTGTGCTTCGAAAGCGCAAACTGAAGATGAACAAGCACAAGCACAAGAAGTTGATGAAGAGAACTAGAGCACTACGCAAGAGAATTGGCAAATAGACGTCGCACTACGTGTTGAAATTAGATTCAACGCCTTGTAAAGAATTAACAGTACATGGATTAAACCCTCATTCCATAATTATCACTCAATGCTCCAATAGCAAACCCTACTGATACATGTTTATTGTTTTAATTTTTTCTACTACACGGCGGGCCGGTATATGTTGTTCTTTGGTACGAATCATTTATCAATATATACAGTGAAGATATTATTTCTTATCATCCACAACGGAGGTGACGCCGGCAACAGTATTGGGAAGGGGTACGTCGCTAAAGTCGTCTTGCTTAACAGCCATAATCGAGTATGAATCTATATGGAATTAGGTTAATGGTATGGAATGGCAGCAGGTCGGATGGGGTGACAACTTACAAACTCCACCGACAAAAGTCAACAAAGCACCAAGAGTCAATAGGTTACGGGCTTGAAATGGCTTTCTAGTACGCTGCAAGGCAGGAGTAAATCCATAGCCCTTGGAAGTAGTATATAGTTTTTCTCTTGAATTGGCAGCCATTGTTGGGTGGACGGACGGACGGACAGTGCAGGGCAGTCTTTGTGGTTTCATTTTTCGAAATTCGTGACTGGCTTTTCCGTTGGCAAACTTTTTTTCTTTCCTTGCAGCGTCAACATTTTTCTTTCACAACTCAACCTTCTTATCGCCACTTTGAACGTTTTGCCATAATGGTAGGCATGCATTTACCTTCTTGCTGCTAGATCAACACTTCTCTAACTAACTATTGCGTCTATAGTCTGCCCCCGTGAACCCCAAGGCTTTCCCTCTCGCTGATGCTAGCTTGACCAACACCATTTTGGATCTTGTTCAACAGGCATCCCACTACAAGCAACTCAAGAAGGGTGCTAACGAAGCCACCAAGACTCTTAACAGAGGTATCTCTGAGTTCATTGTCATGACTGGTAAGTTATAGCTGCTAGGATGTTGACTAGCAGAGCAGTCACATCAACGAAAAAAAAAAAGCTGGTTTGACTGACAACGGTTGTTCTATTCTAGCTGACACCGAGCCTATTGAAATCCTTCTTCACTTGCCCTTGTTGTGCGAAGACAAGAACGTCCCCTACGTTTTCATTCCTTCCAAGACTGCTCTTGGTCGTGCCTGCGGTGTCTCCCGCCCCGTTATTGCTTGCTCTGTCACCACTAACGAAGCTTCAGACCTCAAGCCTCAGATTTTGACTCTTAAGACTCAAATCGAGAAGTTGTTGATCTAAGTTAACAGCTGATGAAACCAAAAGGTTTCCAACGGTTTTCATTTTTTTGAATGCTGGAACCTTTTAAAACGGAGTGAGGGGCTTCTTTTCATATCACTCACCAATTTTATGGTCGTTTCAACCCGGTTTTTTTCCATTTTCTTGTTTACTTAATTGAAATGAGACGGGATAACCGGTTTGGAATTTGCAATAAAATACACTTTTTATTTGGCGATACAACAAAAACTTATTAGTACGTACGGTTTTGATGGGAGGGAAAGTTAATTCGAGGGAACGCGTGAAAGTGAACGGGCGGTAGAAAAGAATGCCGCGTATAATCCCCACGCTACATAATGTGACCAAAAGAGCAAGATCTGACAAGATAAAAAAGGGCATTTGGCACTTATGAAATCAAACATTTGTGCGCACCAAATGTCTTTAGCTCTCTCGAATACATCATTAGTCCAGTGTGTTTACTCCCTTAGTCATAGACTTTGAGCATACTATGACTTGCTACTAGATATCTAGTCACCCCTTACAAAAGACAACAACATCCTACCCATTCATAATAATGTGCTCGGCTATAGCGCGCAACGCAACTCCAAACTGTTAAGAAAATCCCCAATTGCTGATATTCAAAATTACATTCTAGTGGGCGGTCGAATGACATGGTTCGGTGGACGGTAACGACCAAACTCCCACATGTACTACAAGAAATACACCACAGTCCATTTTTCACACTGTAGTACCGCCAGCTGATTGATATAAATACACTGCCACCTTTTCCACTCTTTTTCTTCTTTACCTTTCAATTAAACACAAACAACATGAAGATTGACGGATCTGTAGCAATTATTACCGGTGGAGCTTCTGGTAGGTCTTGCAGCCCATAGGCTTTGCTCTTACTTCGACGTTTAGATTAACGCTCCGACTAGGCATGGGGAAGGCTTTGGCCGAGAAACTCGTCTCTCAAGGGTGAGTAGGTGTATGTAATTACCACAGCACGATGGTGTATTGACTGTGTTCATTTCATGCAGTGGCAAGGTTCTCATTGCTGATCGCGATACCACCAAAGGCCCAGCAGTAGCGGACGATTTGAACGAACGTTTCGGGTAAGTCAAAGCGAGCGGCGAGCGAAACCAATGGGCGGGCGGTTCAACTGACTTTTGGTTGGACGAACAGGGCAGGCAAAGCTATCTTCCACGAAACGGATCTCACCAAATGGAAGACACTCGAAGCGGCGTTTGAGAAAACCAAGACAGAGTTTGGCAAAATCAATATCGTCGTGAACAATGCGGGCATTGTCGAGACCTCCAGTTGGATCAACGACAATGACCCTCGGGAGGACATGTGCGACTACTTGGTCCTGAATGTGGATCTGACGGCTGTTGCCAAGGGATCCCGGCTGGCCATCCAATACTTTGCTAACAACCGAGACGTCGGTGAAGGTGTGGTCATCAGCACCAGCTCGCTGTACGGTTTGTTCAATTCCGGCATCGTTCCCCTTTACGCTGCAGCCAAAGCCGGTGTGGTTTCTCTGGTGAAAAGCCACGCTATGCAGAAGGAATTCACCAATACCAGACATGTGGCTATCTGCCCATGGTTCGTCGATACCCCGCTCCTTGAAGAGCATTTCCGAGGGGCCCTGGCTTATAACAAGGTCGAATTGATCCAGCCTGAACGCGTGGTCGAAGCGTTCGTCATGGCCATTGAGAACGACGACTTGAACGGTAAGGACAGAAGGAAAACGCCATAAGAGTGGAAGAAACCACGCGCTCATATATTTTATTTTCTTATGCTTTTCTTATAGGTGCTATCCTCAAGGTGTTCCCGGATCAGACTTCAGTACAAGAAGAGGTGTTGAGCACGGAGGATCTCACCCTAGCGAAGCATGTTCGGGTCATGGAGCAATTTATCCTCAAGCGACAAGATGAAGCTAGGTTGAATGAGACCAAGCCATAGTCTGTAATAAGGGCATTTGGGTGTTATAGTGAGTCAATAAAATACGCTATTGTATAATCGAGGCGTGGCAGTAACGGATGGGTATTGGGCAGGGCATCTACTGAATTTTTTTATGTAAAAATTGAAAAAACACACACTCACAAGATTAACATTAATAACATGGATGATTGTACGCTATTGCTAAGATGGGGAACAGAGCATACAGAGAGAAAAAATATAGGGTGCATGGAGTAAAAGGACAGCACAGATATTGCATTGGAATGAGCTTCAACGAATCTACTACAACAGACCGACATCTCTCAAATTGTTTTGAATGATGATATCATTGACAGCGGCCATGACAAACTTGATCTGCTTTGTATCGGTTGCACAAGTGAAGTGAGTGTAGATCTGCTTTGTGTTCGACTGATTGAGCGAAACAAATCGGTTCAAGATGTATGAGCTGGCATCTTCATAGTTGTTTCGACCGGTGTAATCCGGGAAGTAGTTTGATAGAGGAGAATGTGGCAATTTTTCTTGGAAACGATCAATTTTGTTCAAGAAGAGAATGACAGACGTCTTTACAAACCATCTTGAATTGCAAATTGAATCGAACAAGGTCAAAGCCTCCTGCATACGATTCTATAAAAACAGTGGTGGGGTGAGTCAAAGTGGATCGATGCCGGATTCCGACGAGTAGGTTCACCTACCACAGACTCATCTTCAATGAGAGTTTGATCGTATTCTGATATTGCCACCAAGAAAATAATGGCTGTCACACTTTCAAAGCAATGGATCCACTTTTTTCGTTCACTACGTTGACCTCCAACATCAAACATGCGATAGGTCAAATCTCCAATGACAAACACAGTTTCTGTAATGCCGGTGGTTTTGACACGGGATCGAAGGACATCCTGATTGCTGGGTGTATACTGAAGGTCGCCAATACGATCAATGGAATCAAAGTAACTACAGGGAGGGCAGCGGTGTCAGTCACTGGGAGATGCTATTTCTCTTTTTTTTTCTTTTTTTTTTTGGAGAAGGGGATCAACCCCCTTCCACCCACTTACTATTTGGCCGAATCGTTCAATTGATACTCTCGACTTCGCTCAAACACAGATAGAAGGTTGGAATCATTCCAAAGCGAACGGATGGCATCGGTGATTTCTGGTGCCAGGAACTCCTTTTCAATTTGTGAAGGTTGCTCCATAATAATTTCTGCATGGTGCCTGTTATGTTGTTCACGCAGGGGCACAGAAAGGGTCTCCATAGCTTCAAGGATCACACGCATCGACTGGACGGTATTGCTGTAGATGATTTCTCTGAACGCTTCTCGTTCGTCTTCAGAGTATCCACCGTCATGTATGAGTTTCATTTGTTTTAAAATGGTTGATTTTCCCGATTCACCAGCGCCTGGCCGTCAAATTTAAACATGAGTTTCAGAAAGGTCAACCCGTTCATCATTTTTTTTTTTTTTTACCTAGGAGCAGCATCTTGATCTCATTCTTGAGATTCACCTTGTCTCTTCTGATCTGATCATCGATTTGGTCATTGCGAGATTTACCCTCTCGATCGAATGTTGATTGACAGCAACCCATGATATATCGATTGGTTCTTTGTGTGTATCTGCAAATATCCGATTAGCTAGGGCTATTTTTCTGCTTCCATCGGTTTCTTATTCTTTACCTTTTGAGAATATAGAATAAAAGCTAGCAGTAATAGAGTAAGCCTAGGTGAAATTGACGCAATGTATAAGTACAGGGCGGGTTGGTAGACTACGGTTTTGCTGTTCATTACCTTTGTGGATAAAAAGTACAAATGGTGGTAAGAGAGACTTGAAGAAGATCATATGGCGTTGGTGTACATAGAGTAAAGAAAAGGGAGAGATCGCAAGAGAAATCAGGAGAGAAAAAAAAACACGGCATAGGGGGGTTGCCCAGTATCCATGGCCCAACCAGTATGGCTGTAAAGTTCGGGACAAGCTAAAAATGTAGAGTTTCTTGATACGCGCTTAATCCAATGCCTTGGCATACCTCCTTGACCTGTTCTTGGTCAATGGCACCCGATGACGCAGAACCTAACCTCACCTCCCCCATCTCCTTTATCATGACTCCCCGGTCCACTAGTACTTACCGACCTTGCCCGTACAAGCAATAAGCTTCTCCTGCGAACCCACCCGCCCCCTCACAAAAAGCCTTGGATGTAAATTTCCATAGTCCGCACGCTGCTGCTCCATTTATTTGAATGATCCCGAAAAAAAATCTCATGTAAAAGAAACCCTGCCCTATCACTAATCCATAAGAGAGTTACCACCTGGACCGTTGCCTTGGGGTGGTGGCCAGTACGGTTGGTTCTGCTGTGGAGCAGGAGGTGGACCACCATGGTATTGGCCAGGGTATGGCTGATGCTCGGCAGGCTGCTGCTGCTGCCACTGCGGAGACGCTTGGTTATGCCCTTGATTCCAACCTTGAGACAGAGGAGGTGGCTGCTGTTGAGGTACATACGATGAATATCCACCATACGGCGCTTGCGGTGCAGGTGATTGATACCCTGGCGTAGAATAACTAGGTGTTTGCGGCGGCTGTTGTCCCGGAATGGGCGGAGGAGGCTTCGCACCGTATCCTGCGGGTGGAGCCTGTTGCTGCATATAACCATACTGATGATATTGAGTAGAAGGTGTAGAGGAATATGAACCTGGTCGTGCAGGTGAATAAGGCTGTTGTGGTGGTGGATGATAATCATATTGACCTTGAGAATAATTGGGTTGCGGTGGAACCGGTGGAGGAGGATTACCCGGGATGGGTGGGGCTTGGCTAACCGGTTCCTGTCTGTATGGCTGCTGTCCCATGGTTGAAGGCGGTGGTTGATACGGTGCAGGACGTTGATACACCGGCGACGTTGGAGCTGGCACATTCCCATACGAACGATATCCACTTGACATGGTTGAATTAGGTGGTAGCTGAGGTGCAGCACCGTAGGGGGATGGCGTTGACTGATAACCGTAACTACTTCCACCTGATGCCATTGAATTAGACCTCTGAGTCGGTGGTAGTGGTGGGGGAGCGACAGGATGCTGGTCAATAGGTTGAGAAGGAGCAGCGGTATAAGCATTGTACAAGGATTGTGGTTGAGGTGGTAGACTAGGTGGAGAGCGGAGAGCTGTGGGAGATAGCGGCGGTGCAGATCCATGAGGTGCTGGAGGGGCATGATTGAGATCCATTTGTCTTGTTCGGTCGGCAAGTTGATATATTGACGCATCGTGAGGTGCAGATGGTCCCGAGTCGTATTTACTTAGCTTTTCCTTCAGCATTTGTTGTTCCATTTGACTCTTTGAACTGTCTATGCTTACGACTAAATCATCGCGTTCTTGAGCTCGGCTATTTGCAAAGTTTTGCGTGTTGCGCAAGAGCGTCTCTATCACGTCGGTCAAGTTTGAATAAAACTGGATTCCTTTTCTGTAACACGTTGTTAGCATTCATCGTAGCTTTTCCATCGTCATCATGGGCGAGATTTACTTACGTCAAGCCATCTTTGACTTCATGATAGCCTTCGTTGGCACGGCGGAATCTCTCAACAACACTTTTTCTCTGTTTTTCTGCCCTCTCCCATTGAGTCTGCACTTTTTTGGCATCATCACCTTCCATCAGGGCTTTGAAAGCGGCGGTCAATTCCTTCAAAAGCTGTTGCTGTTGATGAATAGTGGATGCAATGCGTTGTTGGTGAGGGCGATATTTTTCCAATTCGGAAGCAAACAGTTGAGGCTCGACATTGGTGGTTTTTTTGTTTAGAATGAGAAGATTAGAGATATCGTCTTGATGTGTCTGTGGAGCATGAATGCATTTAGTTTATGCTCGATTCGCTAAAATGCCAACAAGCTGTCTGTTACTTGGAGAAACAAAGAATCCCATGCCTACCTTTTCCTTCAAATCCTCCAGTGTCTCCCTCCTTTCGGTACGAATTTGATGCAACTTTTCCAAGGTAGTCTCAACTCGCTTCACCTTTTGTGCTGTGCTGCTCTTGTTAACACCGCTGTCAATGTCAATATCCAATAAGCTGCCACCACCATTTGGTTTCTCTGGGGTGATAATTCCAGCCAAGCTTTCGGCAAAGATTCTGGATAAATCATCACCACCAGAACCTTGGCGTAATATGGCAACATCACGAGCAGCAAGTTCCCATCGTTGTAAAATCTGACGGTCAGAATTATTGCCTTGGTCAAAAGATACACGGTGATTTCGGAGGTCGTCGCGGAAAGATGTGGTCAATGTACTGGAGGGTTGTTGAGTCCATTGATCACCGTATTTGACACGCATTTGTTCACATCCTCTCATCTCTTCATCCAAAGTCAAAGAAACCTTGTCCATCATTTCTCTTGCACGACTCTTGAGGGCGTCCAAAGTGTCGACCAAGTCGCCAATCTTCGATTTGGTGGTTTCTTCATCTCGAATACGGTCAGCCCAATCCCGAACTTCTCTTGTGGGGGTGGCGAATTCGTCCAATGATAAGTCTTGACGATCATCTTGATGCCTAAACTTCTCCAAAGCGGATGGCAACTTCATATAGTCCAATGACGCATCCAATTCGCCATTGGCAAGATCACATCGTTCAGTCTCTGATCTGACCAGCTTTGCCTTTTCTTCAGAATACAACGAAGCACTTTCGTGAACGCTAAGAGGGATGAGCTTGCCGAAAATGTCAGGACCAATAACTTTGTTGATCTCATTGGCGCCATATAGCTCGGAGATGGAGACGGACTTGACAGCTTTGAGACGATCGATAGGCTGGATGACAGATTCCTGGGGAACTGTGTCGCTGTAAATCATGTCGTTATCATGAGTAGCAAGCTTGAGCTTTTCTGAACAAGTGGCAGCAAATGTTTTGGTGGTTTCTTGCAAGACGGATGCAGCATCGGCAGGAAGTGAGGCATTGGCCGAAGCAGTGGGTACAGACTGAGCCAGTTTACTAGCTTCCTTTGCAGATGTTTCAGCAATACTCAATCTTCCTACCGCTTCACCATATTTTCCTTCCGCCTCACACGCTAATGCTCTGTGATATTGAGACATGGCTTGGAAGTACTTTTGCTTGACTTGACAAACCGTAAGCCAAGATTTATCAAAAACGGATTTGGTGAGACCCTCTGTAATGCCGTCAACACAATTGCCGTAGGTCCATGTGGCGTGACTTGCCAACTTTGCGATCAAAGCGTCCTTCTTCTTTTCACGCAGGCTGTTTTCGATGAAGCATTCTTGTGCTTGAGCCAAAGTGAGTTCAACCAAGACCTTGACATTATCACGTCCCAAATCAGCCGATGGAGCATGTAAAAAGTTGTCGTTGATGTATTGATACATTCCTGCTGCGGCTTGTAAAAAGTTGAAGGCACGCTTTCGACCCTCCGCTTCGGCACGATTCTGCTGCGCTGCGATGGCGGATAATGTACTGGCTATATTGAATATGGTGCTAGCTTTTTCGAAGGCCAAAGAGAACTGAGATGTCAAACGAAGACTAAATGCGTCATACCTAGATGTGATATGACCATGAGTACGATGCTTTGGTACGATATGGTGAAGGGCTTGGCGCGACTCCAATTCGCGCAAGCCCAGGTACCAGAAAAACTCTTGGCCATAAGTAACTTACCATGAAAAAGATATTTTGATGTGCTTTTCATCTATAGGAAACCTAAGGTCCAACAGCTCCAGCTGACCATAGTAGCGATAGAGCAAATCTCTGCCAGTTAAATCTTTACCAGCGCCACGCATGTCTTGTCGAAGGCGATTGATTGTGTTCGTCTCCTCTGCATATTTTTCTGGGTCTTCTTGATAAACTTGTTCGATATATCTCTTGATTGGATGGACCCAATCTATCTCGTCAGTCCTTTTTGTAGGAACCGAGATTAAAGGTGTTTGAGGGGATGCCATTATGCCAACACCATGTGAGGAACAGCAGCGGAGGGGCTACAGCATGCCGTCAGTTAGCGGAGTTTGAACGGATGTGACGTTGAAGTCCATAGGCAATAAGGTAAAATGTGAGCAAAGGGGTCTTACTTTCTCAATGTGATAAACGCTATGGTAATACGCTTCGTGCCAAATGAGTTCTATGATTCATTATCTAGATATAAGATTATGCTTTGTGGATGACCTACTTTCGGCAATATGCTCAAATCTGATTTTGGCAAACGCTGGCTATGACGCACGGTAATCAACCGCTTAAATCAAGAACGACACTTTTTAAGCATTAATGAAGAACCAAAGGAATGGAAAGGTAAACCCAATTTATTAGATCCATGGAATACCTCAGATCAAAATGTACGCCCTCGTTTTAAAGTGTCATCACCCATCTAGAAGCTATGATGCTGTCTGAGTGGTCTTTGAATATTAAAGTGAGATCGCCCTAAACCTTTCTGGAAATCGCGCTGCCAATTGTTTCCAAACCGTTCATGGTGCTAAACCAAACTGATTCTGAGTACTGCTTTAGAGATCATGATGTCACACGTGATGGAATCCAAGGTTATATAAACGCAAGCTAAAATCCCCCATTTTGAAAGTCTACACTACTCGCTTAATCAAAAAACTTTAACACATCATGGGCATTCAATTCAAAGAAAACACCCAATACTCACCCATTACTAAGGATTGTCTGGACAATGCGAAGAAAGAGTATACCCTTCAAATGAGATTGTGGACCGCCAGACAGATCAGCGCAACCAAGGGTAACACAGGCAGATATCCTGAACACTCTATGCTTGGACAGCAATCCAAGGTCAAGACCTCCAACATGAAGAACTGTGCCGTTGAGGCCACATAAATGGTTTTTCTTAGCAACTGGAGGATCTTCCAATATGTCGCATCATTCTCGTCTCGTACCGTGGGGGCCAAGTTATAGGATATTTTGACAATAATTCCAATCCCCCCTCATGCCATCTTCTTTGTATACTCCTTTTCTTTCTTTTCATCCATTACGAATGACTATCTCTGTTGCGATTGTACAGCATGTAAATTTTGAATACTTTTTTTCTGTTATATAGATCGGATGCACTTTTTGGTTTTTTTTGTACTGTTTTTCATACAGCATACCGCTTCACACTGAAAATATAAACGTAACTTGTACCATACAATTTGTTCTGTGAGTACCCCCGTAGCAGTAAAGTTTATTGGGAGGCGCATACAACAACTCGGAACCCTCTGCCAAAATTGTCCATGACGAATGCCTCCGGAAAACAAAAACAATGATTCATAACGACACTTGGACTATTGTAGAAGGTATTTGTCATGGTACGTCTGTGAGGTCACCGAACGGGCATTTCATTGGCGATCATTTTCGCCATGCCATATCATTGGCAAACCCGCCAGCATAGCTACTAGCTAGCTTGTGTCAAATAATGGGCGTACGGCCATGTCATGCTAAACTTTACACACAACGCCTACGAGCGAAGACTAAAATGAAACACAGTTTATACCCCACCAGGGTTGGACATTAAGACGAACGATTGGACAGCGATTTGCTGTTTAGAAACCCTAAAAGACTTAGACATATGGAAATCATATTGTTCTTCTCTCTTCATCGGCTTTACTTGTTTTATCGATTTGGCCCATTCCTCTTGTACTTATTGGGCAGGAGAGCGGTGGCGGCTCACTCATGTGCTGGAAAGTAACGAAAGAATAAAATGTTTATCTTTGTATTTCATTTTTCCATGGTACCTTTTTCAACAAAGTATAAGATCTTTTCTTTCTTTCTATATTGACTGTCAATGAACGAATGTATAGATCGTGAAGTTGGATGCGATCACCGCAACGTCACCTTTTTACCCATAATGTAAATCACTGTTCTCCCAAATGATAAAAAGTTCTTTCGTGTTCGAAGAACATTTAGCTTTTTCACGTTTCAGTATTTTATGCGAGCGTGGCCGATAGCTTAATCCCGGTTAAGCTTGCTGAGCTGTGTCAACTTTCAAAAATGGTAATTGACATGACGACTGTACCTTGGTAAACCGACTAAATGATGTTTCATTGATTCCATTGGATCCAAGCATCTTTGTCGTTACAAATTAGTCTATTTACTCACTATGCTATGAATTTGCCCAACACTCCCTGTTATTGTTCCAAAATTTAAACACCGTCCATCAAAAATGGCCCTCCGTAGCACAGTTGTATGCTTTAAGCAAGTGGCTAGCGTTGCACTACAAATCTGCGGATATCGACAATCGAATAATTTATTCGTCAAATCAAGTGTGCGTAGAGTCGTAAATTTTTTGAGGTAGGCAGGGCTTGCTTGCTGTGGGAGTCGTCATCGGAGAATGACAAAATATGACGGCGGCTGGAAAATATGAAGTGCGCTAGTTTCAGAATGGAGAAATGTCTTTGAAGTCATTGCCGATAGCCTGGCCTGTACAGTAAAAAATAGTTCAGTTATATGAACGGCTTTCATAAGAACGATGACCTCAATAATCTATCACGTTTAGTAACAGCAGCCACGTAATGAAATTTCGAATATTGCAGCCATTATTTGCAGAGATTATGTCATTCTATAGTGAGCGTTCTATGCAACGCTAACATTAAACCATTGGATTGCTACACTCTCATTCATTTCAAGGCAGTGCTTCCGCCACACATGCTGTAGTAACAATGGCCTGCCGAATGATAGGTATTCATTCATTAGAGAAATGGTTGTATTCATTGAAACAGAAAAAAAAAGTGGTGTAAATTCTCCTTTCAATTTACTAGTAGATTTGCGTGTCAAGTATTTCATTGCTTCGATATTTATTCAGTGAACGAGTCACAGCAAACCAAACATTAGTGAGCAGCAATGTGTTGATGAAAAGCCTGAGCTTGCGTTGCATCTGTCACATGCATTGAGGCGCAGCTATATAAATGGACAACGTCCGCTAATGTTCTAGAGCCTCGGATTCGGTCTACGCAGTTATGCCTTTAGAGTTACAGCTTTGCACTTGATTTTCCCATGTTGGGAGATACCTCTTGAAACCAAAGGAGCTTTAGGAAATATTGCCTTGGGTAAGCGTGTCTTGGAGTGGACTTATTTTTACGGTCGGGGTATGTCTGTGCGCTAGCGACTCCAAGAACTTTAGGTTTGGGGGAAGGATTGTCGGGCCAAATGGTTCTGCTGGTTTCCATTGAGTCTAGCGCGAGTGCTGCAATCAATGATACACAGCATTCTGGAGCTACGTAGTCCTTTTCAACCCCTTCTGCGGGAATGGATCACAGCTTGGAAAAAGGTAAGCAAACCTGAAACCCACAGTCACACAATGTCGAGCATCGTCCAAGTCGCCTTTTTTTACTCGTTGGACAGGCAAACAAACAGTATTTTTTTTTTTAACCTTTACTATTTTCCTTTGCCATGGCCAATTACGATCGACCGGGCATAGTGTCTGAAAGCCAGAAAAACGTCATTCTGGCATGGTGGAAGAAGGTCACTGCAGCCAATCCCAAAGCTGAGAATTTTCAACGGCTCAGAGTTCCTGTTGTTGGTAAATGTCCCATTTGATTCAAAAATGAATTCATGGCATTGTTTTCTGTTACCTTTGCTGATTGAAACGTTCCAATAGAAAAAGGCGTTTTCGGCATACCTCTAGTTGAATCGATTAAATATGCTTACTCAACAATTTCATATATGGACGACGAAACCCACGAACAATGCTATGGGGTTATACCGACCATCGTAGCCAAGTGTGGCTCATTTCTTAAGGAAGAAGGTATGGCAGCACAGCCTCGCATTCGGGGGAGGGGAACACAGACGACTGACCTGTTTTCTTTCTTCATAGGATTATATGTGGAGGGTATTTTTCGGCTTTCAGGTAGTGCCAAGCGAATAGCGATGTTGCAGACATTTTTCGACACTCCTCCACATTACGGCTCTCAGCTTGACTGGCGTGGTTACACTGTTCATGATGCTGCCAATGTTATGAGGCGTTTCTTAAATTATCTCCCCGACCCGGTCATACCACGTCAGTTCTATCACACTTTTAGAGAGCTCATTGGTAAGGCGCGGGCATGCATAGGTTGGTTGTGGTGGCATGGCATTCTTCTAACCGTGGTCGCTTTTCATCAGATGACCAATCGCTACCGAATGACGACGCATTGATTGAAGCGTTTCAACGAATGATTGAACGGTTGCCTTTACCCAATCAGTTTCTTCTGTTGTATATTTTGGACATGCTTAGCTTGTTCGCTTTAAATTGCAAGTCCCATCGGATGGATGCTTCGAATTTAGCCGCCGTCTTTGCACCGGTAGGATACGATGGGAGATTTGGGGAGGGTCAGTCAATGACTGTTATTCATTCGTCTATTTATAGGGTATACTGTCACATCCAGATGACCAAATGAGCCCTGCACAGTACCGAAGATCGCAGCGAGTGTTAGAGTTCCTCATTGACCATCAAGGCAGTTTGACCATGCCTCCAGCTTGCGTGCTTGACAATCAGTTCATACCAAATGCTAGCCGCTTGTTTACACCTCCTCCAAAATCTTCTACTCCCACTATACCACCTGTTACCTCCACTACTCCCACACCAGAAGCTGCCAATTTACCTCTGTCCCCTATTGAGACATTGGACTTGTTGGTCGGCCCATTACCTTCATCGCAACGACCCACCACCATTGCCGCTGAGTCACCACATCGACCTACCCGATCCAATACTATGTTTGAGCCAACACACTTCAAGGATACCGATTTGAGCAACTTTGAATTGGACATCCCAGTTCGACCTAGTCCATTGAAACGATCACTCACTTTACCCAGCAAACGACAAAAGTATGGCGAAAATGAACCTACCCAAGTGGTTCATGTCGGACGAAATGGTAGTCAGGCGTCGAAGCGATCTGGTTGGAAGCATATTAAAAGAGTATCCTCCGAGCGAAGAATTAATGATGGCACATCACCTGAACCCCTCTCACCGACCACTCCACCATTGCCACAACCATCTGCATCGAAATCAGAAGACAGTACGACTCATATCGCACCACCACCACCGCCCGCTCAGAAATTTTTATGGGATGTGTCCCTTGACGAAGAAGAGGAAGACGATCAAAAACTGTCCCAGAATGTGTCCAATCCACCTGCTTCTAGTCAAGAGAGCCTACCTCGTACCTCAGTGGACAGCACACCGGATCCCCCGACGGATTCGTCCAGTCCTCGATCTACAAACGGAGTCAAGCTTCTGTATCAGAAAATGAGTCATAGAGACTCGGTATCCGAACACAGCGACAGTGCAGAAAAACAACCGGTTCAGATGGCATCACCGGAAGGTAGTGGTGAAGGTGGTGTTGGCTTCAGAGCGGCGATGCGTCGTAACACGATTGGAAAATTGTTTGGCAAACACCCAGTGCGAAGATTGTCGGAAGGCGAGGAATTAGAAAAAGGTCCTAGCCCATGATCGTCGTTAGTTCCATGCCCTCATTTCTTACCTACTTGTAAAACTCCTTTCTTGCGCGCTGCCATACCTAATGCCTTGCACTATTTGTAATTACTTTTGTTCTCACCCCCCATTTGCTTGTCTATCTTACACTACTTGCTAATATAAGAGCCGCGGTTAATCTAATGGAAAGTGATGAATAAGTTGGAGTAAAGAAAGGACGGAGCGCGGTAGAGAACAAAGTTCTGTAATTTCCGCCTAGCAACTTAAGCTCCACTTGGCCTAGTGCTTTGGGTATGTGCAACAGAACCGCTTGCGTTTGACACTATTGGTGTCTTTACCAACACCATATATGCTGCAGCGCTCGGGCCGCAATGCAATGCAGTGATCAACCATGTTGGCTTCTTCATACCATACAAACCCCCTTGGCGGGGTTAGGAAAAAAAGGGCAACCTTTGGTTGGTGAAGTGAATGGGAACATCCTTTTCAAGAATCCCCTATATTTATTACTTTTGGGTATTTGGTTTAGATGGAATGACACATCGGTCAGCGTGGGTAGCAAGGTCTCGATACGGTGAACCTTAAGTTTTCCAACAGAAATGCCAGTAGAAGCTGAAGAAATCCTCAAGGAAAATCCATAAAGGCAAGATCTCACCTTCACCTTTACCTGTTTTTTCTTGGTGAATCATTCAAGATCTTTTGTTTTTGTTTTTTTTTTTAGATGAGTGGGAAAAGCCAATCCTAGCACAGTGCAGCGCAATAAACCCCGCCAAATCAAAGAAACTCTGTGTCCCCCCTGTCATAATTGTGTGAATATCCTCAATTTTCCCGCTTCTTCCAGACAACGCCATAACATATTGCGTACAGCACATCCACTAACAAGTAAAACCATGCTCGATACATACATTACAAGTGTCGGTTTTCCACGTCGTGTCAGCAACGCGGGTACAGGCTGCCATTGGTTTATTGCGTGCGCGTGGTCTTGTCCATTTTAGACCTAATTACACCTGCCCATCGACGGTATATCCTATAGAACAACAACTCATCTACTTTTTTCCGGATCGAAATCACAGCAACGTTCAGATAGCTGCGCCTAGGTCTTGGTAGCTGTGGTGATTCCTGGCGTTTCAGAGCGCCGAGAGCTGCGTATCCAAACTCAGTTGGTCCCACATGGCATTGTGACCGGTTGTACCAGGATTTGTTGCTCCGTCCATGGGTTTATACCAACTATATCACTCTTGTGCGGGGTGTTGAAACCTTGCATGGTGAGGAGTTGCTGAGGTAATTCAATATGAGAGAAAAGCCAATCCAGTTGAGGGGGGGAGAGAAATTTTCAAACCCACTAGGTGGACTTCGTTTTGGCTCTCACAAACTATGGGAATGGAGGACGGGATATTCATGTGTGAGCTCTGGCGGGGGCTGCTTGATAATAAGCGTCTTCAATGACCAACTTGTCATGAGAGGCAAATGGTGCCACTTTTCCTGGGTACACATTCACTATACCGGATGTTGAATAGCGTACCCAGCGCACGAACCTACCTATGTCACCAGCCTCTCGAATGATTCTCATCTCACACAATTATTCTTGCAAGAGAACTCGTTTTAGCCATACGTCCTGTGATCACTGGCTGGTACATTTTGTCAGTGGTCTTGGGAAGATCCGGTACCTCTCAGAACCCCGCCATGCACAGCAAAAAGCGTGGCAAGCCTCCACTAAAAA